TGAGGCCACAAACCTCCCTCCTCTGTAGATCTGGAGACCAGGATCAGGAAAACTATGAACACACCTACAAAAAGAGCTGGGACAAGGGAAAATGGACTCATTCTGATCGCTATGGCTTAGAATTTTGCTTCCTTTCCCTTTCTAGAATTCTTGGTTTTCATTTCCCTCAAAGGCAATTTCAGCTTTGGCTATTCCAAGACTGCCTTTGAAGAGCAGAGAGCTAGTGCGACAAGACAACACAAACAAATAAATGTTCAGCAGCCAAGTCAGGAAGGGACTTTTAGGCAGACCATTTGACATTTATTCTCCCTTTTTACTACCCATATACAACAAGGCCTTCTAGACATCCCAGAGCAAAGCCACCAACAACGCAGCTTGAGAGGCAGCAAATTAGGACATAACCCACATTTCTGAAAACCCTTTGTAGGCTTTGTTGAAAAAGAGATAAGGATGAAAATGGGGACAAAATGTTTGACAGATATAAAATCGTGAGAAACCACCTTATCACCTTATCTTCCACCTTGTCTTCTGCTTCTTCTTTCGTGGTGTTTTTTTTTTTTTTTGCAACGAACATGGGAGACATTGGGAAAACATAAAGGCATAAACACCAAGGAAATGGCACTGTGAGGGGAGGGCTGGGAAGAAGATCCTCAGGAGAGGCCACAGAAGTCTCTCTTCCAGCATGCTTGCTCTGGTCCAGCAAAGCACTTAAGCATGCACCTAATACACATTTGACTTCATGGAGCTCTTCACAAGCTTGAAAGTTAAGCAGTTTTGGCAATTTGCTACAAGAAGACCAGAGAAACTGAGAAACTGACACTTGGTCAACAGCAACGTTAGCTTGCCTTTGAAGAGCATCTTAGCCAAAGATTCATGCCATGTGTCAGTTTCCACTCACTTAGGGAAACTCTAAGCCACCAGAGAAGTTCCTTACATTCAAATTAACACGTAAAAAAGATTATATACCAAGAATATCATCATTGAGCTTTCTTCAACTCCTTTCAGCTCAAGAGCTTGAAGCAGAGAGGTTTACAGGTACATGAAGAACTGGAACTACCTCGTCTCAGTGTAAGCCAATGCCAGCTTAAAATAAAGTGCTGAATTCAGTGTGCTGTTCCTTGATGTAGGAAACACTGTCCTGAGGATAAGGTACAACCCCAACTGCCAGTGGCCAAGTACTACAAATACAAGGTGAGCCACAAACAGCACCACAGCTCTGGGCAAGACACTGCAAAGTCTGATATTTGGAGGAGTAGAGCACATCTGAACACTCCTTACATTATCAGAAAAATGTGAAAAAGTCTCTGGCTTTGCTTCCCTTATTAAAATTGGCATAACAACTTTGCTCCTCCACATCCCATCTGCCACTGAGATAAAATGTTGGGGTCCATTCCTGGCCCAGCTGTGTGCTCCAGAATTAGGGGCACAGCCACATCCAGCTCTGCTCTCGCTTGCTGCCCCTCATTCCGGTCCAAACCCAGGCTCAAGCTCAGCCACTTGCTTCACACAGAGCTGCTGATGGCATCTTTTGGCTTAAAAGTTATTCCACTAACGATGATGGAAGAAACTTAACTTCTAAATCCTAAGCACTAGGTTAAAAGGTTAAAAGGACAGAAAAAGCATATTTAAGCATGTGCTCCCCATATAAATACACAAAGCTTAATTACATCCGAGCAAGAAGCAAATAAGTTGTCTTTATTAGCAACTCAAATCTCAATACCCTGGTGGCATTCCCCTAATGTCGGCACAGTAAAAAAAAAAGCCGCTTTCCACAGGTTCTTAAATCAAAAATTGATTCAGGATCCACGTGGAAAGAGACCCCGACGCGAGAAGCTGCGCAGCGCTATGGCTCCCCCTAGCGGCCGGGCCGGCACTGCGCACAGCCGGAGCGTCGCGGCGCTGACCCGGGTGAGCCCCGACGGGGGAGGGCGGCAGCGGGGGCTGCTCTGCACTGCCTGCCCGCTGAGCAGCCACCTCCAGAACGAGCCCCCAAGGAGCAGCATCTATTTCGTGGCCACAGGAGTGTTTATTATCGCTCACGCCTTTCACAAGAATCACAAGAATCACAAGAATCACAAGGTTGGAAACGACCTATAAGATCATCCAGTCCAACCGTCTCCTCAATCACCATTGCCACCACTAGTACTAAACCATATCACGCAGCCTTGAACACTGCCAGGGACGGTGACTCCACCACCTGGGCAGGCCATTCCAGTGCCTGACTACTCTCTGAGAGAAGAAGTTCTTCCTTATGTCCAACCTGAACCTCCTCTGATATAACTGGTGGCCATTGCCCCGTGTCCTGCTCGTTGCCTGGGAGAAGAGGCCAAATCCCTCTTCACTACAGTGCAATGAGGTCTCCCCTGAGCCTCCTCTTCTCCAGACTTTACTTCATGAGACACCAGATCGGAGCGCAAGCCAAGGTCAGCGGGGACAGCAGAGCACCCTGTAGTGCATTGCCAGAGGAGGAACGCACGCAGGAGGACGCAGGAGGATGCAGGTTCACTGCCCACCTCCACGTCCGCAGCGTGAACAGGCCCGGGGCATGAGATGGCAGGCAGGGATGGCCAGTCTCTACCACCACAGAGCTCTGAGGTCGCACACATTTGACAGAACCACAGCATATGGAATCAATAGCATCTGAGTCTTAGTGTGCTATTTTTTCTATGCTGCTCATACGTAGCATGGAATACCAGCGCACAGAGCACCAAGTGTTCCTGAGCGCACCTCCTACATAAGACAATGAACAGTCAACCACTTTTTTTTTCCAAAGCATCCCCCAACACTGTACCACAAGGACAACGGCTAGCACAGATCCCAATGAAGCGTGGCTCAGGTCAAAGCAGAACACACCAACCTGTGCAAAGCAAATCTGACGGTTCTGGAGTTTTCAAACCAGCACTTGCATTCTGAAGGCGGGGGAAGCACCAACCACGCACCAACCACAGTCCACAGCACAATCCTGAGCAGCACATGGGCATTCTCACAGCAGCTCAGTAAAACAGAGCCATTCAAGAACCACTCTGCAATGACCAAGCATTTTCCCGGTTCCCATTTAACACCTTCAGATACAGAGCAACTTCAAAAACACACAATGCTGACACAGTATTCGTCTGTCTTCACAGCACCCTCTGAGCTATGACCGGCAAAGACCACAGGACAGCACAAGTTTCACACGTACAGCTCGTTCCCTTTTCTGTCCCCACACCCAGAACTCCGCATTTCATCGCAATACCGAAGTGAATGCACAACTGAGACCTTCCAGCAATCTTCGTTAGCAGAGATACTCTGAACCCAAAAAAGCCCAAACTGTGCAGCTCCATCTTTATCCAGATTTACAAAGGTCTGTTTTTCACAGTTCACCACTTGAGAATCAGGTGAGATTTCAGGCTGCAAAGTTCTTCATTAACCTGACAGTGCTGCATGCAACCACACGTGGAGTCGACTTCCTCGGGGTTACGGCACAGGTCACTGCAGTGCCGGCACCTCGGGCTCCTCAGCACCACCGGCACTGCCACGGGCAACTCTACGCAGGTCTGTCTGAGGGCTACACTGAATCTAAAGCTTCTCCTTGGCACAGCAGCAGCAGCAGCTGGATAAAGACAATTGCCTTTCACCACCAGTTTTCATGCTGTTAACTAAGTGCGATCTGTAGGAAGATACTTCCGACAAATCAAAAATTCCATAGGGGATCAAAATTTAAACATAAATACAATTAAAGCCTTCTAATATTAATGCACACTTTTTATTATATTAAAATCAGGCAATGGTCTGATACAATAAAAAGGCTGCTTATGGAATACTGTTATGTTAAATCTTAATTACAGATGATGATAAATCCTTACAACTAATATTTTTCTCAAAAGAGTTAATGGAAACATTGTTGTTCATTGACTTGATAGCTGCTGCTTTAAAACGTATTTTTATTCTTTTTTTCCTTTTTCTTTTTTTTTTTTTCGCAAACACTTGATCTTTTCATAAAATTTCAGACACACTAGGCTGGTTGCATGTAAGCTTGCATCCACACTGCAGTTAGTGGTCCAAAAGAGTAAAACAGAAAAGGCAGCGATTTGCCAGGATGCAAAGCCAGTACAGGTCCTTACTCTGCTGTATGCAGCACTTCCCCAGATCTTCGCTGAGGGGTTTTCTCTTCCAACACTCAGAGAATCCTAACGGAATCTATGCTGACTCGATTTGTCTGTCAGACTTTTAGAAGGGCCAACCTGGATGCTGCACTCAGTTAATCAACGTTCCTGGGTCATTCCAAAGCACCAACAACACAGCGACTGGAATTGGAGTGTGTATTTTGAATCTATGCGCAGATCTGGCAGCAGATTTTGGCCATCCTGGTAAATTACTGCTCTTTTCACCATGTCAAAAGCCTATCTAACAACATCAGCCGCAGCTTGGTGGTGTGGCAGCAATGCCAGAGGAACAGAGAAAATCCACATTTGCGAGCAGAACAGATACTCTTGGTTCCCAGGCTGGTGAAGACTAAATTTGTTGCAAAATCAAAACAATAAGCAGAAGGGAATATGTCAAGTTATTGCCCCAGTGCTTACCCCTGCCATCCAGGGGTGAGAAGAGACAGAGAGGGGCAAAAAGAAAGCAGCATCCCCACTAAAAAGAGGGGAAGAGGGAAGAGATTAAAAGAACCCTGAATCCCTCATCCAATGCTCATGTTTCTGGTGAGGAAGATCAGGAAGAGAAATACAATCTATGCCTTGGCCAGAGGAAAGCTTGCCCCAGATTACCAGGGCATTAAAAAAATATAAAACCAAAAATGACCACAGTCACATTCAGCCTTTACTAGAGATAGCACAAAGGGAGGGATGACAGAGGTTAGCACACATCCCCATTAGTAGTCCATTAAGCCCAGTGTCGTACTGGAAGCAAAAACCTTTGTGTCTATTCTAATAAACAGCCCTGAGCTTCAACGCTATTGCAGAAGACAGAAAAAGGAAATAAACAAAACAACCCAGGCCAGACACGCAGCAAGGTGATTGTGGGATGTATGCTTCACAGTTAAGTTAGATGTGCCACACTGGTCTTGACAGTAATCAATTTGAATCGACTTTTCCTGATACCAGAAGTTCAGCTATGTGGACAGTGGTTACACGACAGGATTATTTGTTATAGCACAACTTATATTTCAAATGAAAAAAATTAGTATCATTTACAGTATCTCAAGAAAAATGTTCTTTGAATGGGAACTTCCTTTCCAGTATTTTGAGGTCTACAAGATGCATCTAGAAAATTTACTACTGTGGAAAATGAAGACAGCTTAAATTGAATAAAGGGGCATGATTTTTTTTTTTTTAATTAATTGCTGTAACATTGTCCTTCAGGTGGTTGAGGAAGTTTCATATTTTCTTTAGACATCATTAGACGCCGAAGCTCTTGCAGAACAACTTTGATACTAAAAGAATTCTGCCATTTTGCTAGGACTGATATGGCTCTGGGGTCCACCTAGAACAGACAAAAACACCATTTCTGTCACAGTCAGTACTATCAATACAGATAACTCCCACACACACCCTCCAGCCAAAGATCTTTTAAGAAGTCTGAGTGCAAGAGAACAAAGAATGCAAAAGCAAGCAAGTGGCTTTTCTGAAAGCATAACTAATACATGCATATCTATTTGCAAGCTGCAAATGTATAGGAAAAGTACATTTTGATTCCAGTATTCTCTCAGTTTGTACAGTTCCCTTCTATTCCCCTTTCCTTCTACTCTAAGAAATGGTACGAGCAAACAGAAAGTATTAAAGCAAATTGCAAATATAAAGCATTCATTTGAAGCTGCACAGGAAAGTCATGTAAAATAATAAAAACAAAAACTTACCACTCCATTAGAACTATTTACTCCATTCATATTAATTTTTGTTACAAATCTTACAAATGGAGGTGCTTCTGGATACTTAGGCCCACATTCTATTTTAAGGCTGTATATTCTGTTTTCATAAATTGTCTGGGGGAATAAAAGCAGGGAGGGGGAACAATTATATCAGGCAGTTCAACAATCACTAGGTTAAAACAGTGGTTATTTCAGGGACCCAAACCACTAAACAGAAAGGCAGTCACTTGCAAACTATGCTGGCTCCCTCTGTTTTGGGTTCATTTTACAATATTTGAAGCACTAAATGCTGTTCTTCTGCATATTAAGTTCCACTATTTTTTTAAGCACACATTGAATTTTCACTTCAAAGTGAAGCTGGCATTGCTTCCTGTTCACTACCTGAAATGATTTTTGTTATCATCATATAGTTTAGATATCTACTTTTCAACCAATCTTTATAAATCAGTTCTGTTTTTATCAATTCATTAATCACAAACATGAACTTGAAATCAAAACTAAGGCTTTAGTGTAGAGAGCTATCTGAAGTTGGCCAGTCCTAAAGCTGCACTTAAATACTTTCTTTAGTCAATGGTCAACCCAATGCATGAGCTCTCTGAAAGATGAATGCTCCAAAATTTAGTATATTTCAAAGTACACAGGTTGTACTGAAAGTAATGCCTCCTATTTATTTTCATGAAAACTACAACAGATACATAAAGCACAGTAACATTATTTGATAGAGCAAATTCTCAGCTATAAAACACTGGTTTTCAACATAGTCCCCACCATTAGTTGAATCGTGGAGATGAGCTGATAAAGGCACTCTTCACTTTGTTGTATGACAGCTGTGCAAGGCCATTCTGGGACACGGCTTATCCTTCATGTTGCTGTTGACAGTGCTGAAAGGCACCACCATGACTGTGCCAGCATCCGCTGCTTGGTCTCCATGTATGTTCAGCAATCATGGATGGATGTCAATGGGTGCCTTTTTTTTCCACATAGGGGAATTCAGTTTCCTCCCTTTGCTCCATAAGCACTTCCATGTCAGACACCACTCTGTCAGACTGCCCCTCTGCTGCCAGCTGTCACACGGCAACAAGATGTAACGGGACATTGGTGGGAAGGTTCAGCCCTACTGCCACACCACCAACGCCCGCCTCTGACATCATGGGCCAACATCACAAAATAGGAGGCATTACTTTCGGAGCAGCCCTGTACATCCTGAACCCAATCAGCATCAACACTGTCCCAGAGACTGGGAGACAGTCTCCTGGCTCAGCCTGGACTGTTCCAGTCTCCTGACAGAACCACGAAAGCTCTGTGCACAGAGCAATTAACACACCAAAGTCTGCAGGTTTTTATGGTCCTTGCAGGTAACCACATCACATTAAGACTAGTGAACAGGAAGTCTTCATCATGCACAGGTCTACAGCCCGTCTAAAACAGGTGCAGACAAAGTCAAAGTTCTGACAGCACCACTGTTATTGAATAGTTTGTATAAGCAAGAGGAATGATTGGTTGCAAAACCGTCTGCACCGAGCCTGGGAAGGAGCAGCACGCCTCCATGTATGGTAGCAGGGACACCCAGAGCAGCAACGCGGACCCCGCTCAGCACAACAGTTCTTTTTTCCCTACGGGATGCGCAGCATCAGATTTCTCCATCTGCCACAAGCACGACTGTTTTCTACTCAGAAGAAAACAGGACTTTTTGATTTTTTTCCAAAGCCAGTATTTCTCACATCCTATTAAAAAAATGGTAATTACAGCACTGAGTATGAACAGACCTAAAAGCAGAGGAACCTCCTCACAAATAATGTCTGAAAGTTCCCAGAATCTCCCTCACTGCAGCCTGTGGTCTTCAAACAATTACCTCAACTCAAGAATGGTAAAAAGACAAAAGAGGCACAGCTGAATAATTCTTTTGTGGCAGTCCTCTAGCCTTGGTTAGCAGTGTGACATGAGCTACAGATTTCTATCACTGCTGACAAGTCAACATATGCCTATTTGCATGTTTCAGTTTCTATTTGAATTTCTAAATTAGATTTCAAGGTTGTTCAAATTTTGCATAGCATGTAGGTGCACAGTGAGCCTACCTCACCATCCTAACGTAGGCTCATTAAAGCTCTCCTAATGTTCTAAAATCAAATGTCATTCTGAGAAACAATTTGGGCATATCATAAACAAATGAAAAGGTCATGTATGGGCAGATGTTAGAAATGGCAAAAAGAGAAGAACCCTTCTAGATGAGATAGAAAATACTGCACATGTAAAGTGTTATTAATTCCTGCACGTCATCATCTTGAGTCAGAAAAGGCAACTGACAAAATAGAAACACATCAGGCGGTAGCATGATTGAAGGATTGTAAAGGTTTCCATATTGATAGAACTGGAATTTTTGAGAAGTGATACTGAAGCCAGACACAGAGGACAACACAGACTACTGCAGGAAGGAGAACTACCTACCTGCACTTCATGGCAGGGATAACAAGGAAACCAAACAAATACACAGCAGAAATGGGGGCCACAGACACCTTCTGTTTTTAGAATACATGCATACATATAATGCACAATCAAGCCCTAATATTTACTGCCACAGACCCTCAGTTGAGTAAGGTTCTGGGAGGGAAAGGAGACAGAGAATACACATCAGTGCTATCAAAAAGATTATGACTGCATTACAAGAAGCTACTTTGGGAGAGAACATTCAAAAAAGTAACTGAATTCACTAAAATTCAAGTTTCCTGAGTTAGTTGAAACTGTAAAGGAGCATGTCAATATTTCTGCAGTCAAAACAAACTCACAAACTCAAGAAAACGCAGCAGAAAGACCACCAGCAGTGCTGACAGGACATCCACATTTTACCTAGGTTAGCTCCAAATGTAATCTCACTAGCTGAAGGATTTTGAACCTTACTGCATTCAAGAGCAGAGGATATTAGAATCCTGGAATCTCAAAAGTTAGGTCTTAATGAATCTGTAAATACAAAGCAGATGTGACAGAACTAACCAGAAGTGGGTACTACAAGTATTCCAGATCATAAGCAAAAAGACATAGAGATAGATGAAACCCGTTTGTATACATCAGTTGATCTTTCAACATAAGTCACTTACTGAAGAGTTTTGCCACTCATTTGTGTTTTGTTTTTATTTCAGTACTTAGATTAAGAGAAGGAAAAGAAGAAGAAAAAAAGAAGTAACACTTGTATTTTAATATTTAAGTGGATGCTTACTCTTGGAGGCCCAATAATCATTCCTGTCCATCTTGTGAGTGTCATATCTTCATCATCTTCAAGGCCCCAACTAACTGTTCCATCGCCTACTCCTTTTTGACCTTCTTCAAGTTCTTCCAACAGACGAAAATTACGAGGAACTTTTACACCTAAAAAACAATCAGAACAATATTTTAAATAAAACCTTAAAAATACCACAGTTTCTCAACAGTGTACAGATAGCCCTTTATTTAACATGGAGTTTTCAAGTGATACCAAACATGCTGAAAGTCTGAAAGGCCAGATGTTAGAACAAGGAAACCTCTCCATCCACTCAGAGACACAAACAGCATTACGGAGCTCTATTAGCAGTTGTTTTAATGATCTAAAGCATGAAAATGCATGAGATAGTAAAAATGAATAGAGTCAAGTCCCTCATGGTATCAAGTCTCTCACAGCTTTTAAAAATATCACCACAATCAACTAGCACACTTTCATAACGTTAAAAGGTTAATCTGAAGTCCGGTGCGCTCTGTCAGTAGCTATGCTGTCTTTAGTACCTCTGACCCCTTGTCACCACAGAACTTCAGCACTTCTGAACTGCTAGCGCACTATTGCTTAAAACATACACAGTAAATTCTTATCCCCACTACATTAATGAAAAACAATGGCACAAGGGCTCATTGAGATGCTCGCGGTCACAATGCTGCATTTGTGGTGAAGGTCTTCGATCCCTTCATTATTTGTTCTTCCCCAGGACGCTCATACCTCAGCCACCAAAGCAGATGCACACTCCAGGCCACTGCTTCTACCTCAGATATCCAGGTGGAGCACATGTCTTTCCAGTGGAAACAAAATTATTGCCAGGATACATTTGATGGACTTATTTTCACCTGACATACAAAAAGTTTGGGATTTGGATTATATTTTCACCTCAATAACCCAAAATGAACTATGCACCAAGGCATAATAGTGGAAAATCCTAATGAATGCTCTTCATCATCACTGATGCAGCACAGCAGGAAAAGAGTGAGCAACTCGCCTTGAAACATCCAAAGTGGACCCAGTGGACCTCTCCTAAGACGTCACCTCATCCAGCATTCACAGCATGCACACATGCTCTGTTGCACACAGAGGCCGTTAAGAAAGAAATCAAGACAGAGCTCTCTGTAAATCTCCAGAGCTCCCTGAAAACATGGGCAACCACTGGCAGAAGGCCTAAGGCTTTCTAAAATGTAGTGGCTTTTAAAGTCTGGTGGCTCCGGTATTCTTAAAATCCCTTGAAGTATATTAGTGACCTACGCAAATTAAATGTCAAAGTCACTCTTGCTCCAGAATTATAGTTGCCACAATTTCATTCACTACAAAAAAAAGCAAATTACTGGAGAAATCAGTTTGTTGGCCCGTTTGGTACCACATCTCCAATAATCAAGTTCCAGAATATTCTGGGTAAATGAGATTTACCGACAGAGCTGTAGTGAGGACACAGACAGGAGCCCAGTTCCACCAGTGCAGCACCAATGCAGTAGGGGCTGCAAGGCACAGTCCAGTGCAGCTTCATGCTAATCAAGCTGATACCGTGACTGCTGAGCAATACAAACCTTTGGCTGTGAAAGGAAATGAGTCAGTGCGGCTGTGAAGCCATCACCATGAGGCTGATCCCAAACCCTAAGCAGGAATAGGACCTCTTTGAGATAGCCGCCATCTCCCTTGCACAAAACCTCCAAATTGTGATGCAGCCTGTGAGCCTTCAGCACGGAAAGTTCCAAGTGTGCTCCTCACAACTGGGCTAGGCAGATCAGGCATTCCATCCTAACTGAAATCCACGGGACCAGATGCCATCACCACCTGCACATGCTGCTGCTCTGCAGGACCTTCGCTGAGCACATCATGCCACCAAACCACATTTCCCTGGGCAGCACCACTGCGATGCCCACCAAATGTCATCTGAGCCTCTCTGTCAGTGTTTGCTAATACCGCCTCATATTCACCAGTGGTGTGAAGGAAACTCACTGAAGCTGAGAGAGACCAAAATCACAACCGAGGAGGAATCAGTACCATGGTGACAGCACTGCATGCTTTAAGGAAAGCAGACGCAGGCCATACATCAAAGAAAATCACAAATATTGCCTACCTGCCCTTTCTCTAAGCACCAAGCACTCAATGAAAGAGACAGGAATCCTGCATGAAAAAATTTAGGTGCTTGTGTAATTAAAAATTCCATCATCTGGCGAGGCCATAATCAGACCAATGGGCAGCTTTACTGCTAAGCACAGTTAGGTTTGGCTTTGCAATGTTACAGGGAGAAACAGCAGCTTGACCTCAGGGCTCCCCGAGGGCATGGCTGCTCAGCACATGTCTGATTCTGCCTGAACCACAGACACACAATGCAAACAGCATTTCTGAGGTCCCTGACAGATCCAAGGTTTGCAGAGCACTCACTGCTCGCATCTCATGCTGGTTCCTATTAGATGGAAAAAGCGAACAGAAATGGTTATTAGTTCCACAGCAATTGCTTTCCAGTAAGCACTGTAGGAACATTAGCTTATTTCCAAATGACCTGTCCTTATATAAGGCAGAGGAACGGATCAAATGCAGGCTGCTGGTCAGCCCAGGAGGACACACAAAGCTGAAGGCAATGGCCTGGGCCACGCAGAGACAGCTGCCACATCCTGATTACAACACCTGGGCAGGACTGTAATTGCTGGCTGTACACAAACAAACCGTCATGCTTTTGTCCGGCAGAATTCCTGGAAAGCGGTCTGAATTGTTCCAGGCACCCACACTGTTTGTCAGGCAGAGCAGGCTGTGCCAGGGGATGCCCTGGTCTACCCCATCACCTCCCATAGTGCTCACAGTGCAGCAGTGGAGCTCTCCCAGGCAGTTCCCAAACCAACCTGTTTTTCTGAAAGCCCTTTGTGTAACACAAAAAAAACTTGGAAAAGTCACAGGTAATTATAAATTAATAAAAAATACTTCCAGCTATGCATTTTTATAGAGCCTTCACTGTGGCTCAAGTAGACTCCCATACAGAGGGAGCATTTATGGCATAAACAGACAACTCCACCCAGATAATGGCTCCTCGCAGCTTGCCTGATCTTGCAGAAATGCTCCCAGAAACATAACTGAAGAAGCATTACAGAGCAAAGGCAGGTATTTACTTCCATTCACAAGGGCAAACCTATGAAAGCTGAGCCGCATAACTGCACCAGTAAGGTAAACTCTCAAACCACACAGCTTTGTACAGTCTGTAAGAAGTTCATTTTTAGTAAATTTGCATACAGGAAGCCTCAAACACGGACATTAATTCTTTAAGTAGTTCGTGAAATATTTTTAAAGGAAATTTGAGAATAACACTGAATCACAGGTGCAGTTTTGCAGAAAGTCAAGACATGAATTTTACTGAACTTAAAGTTGCAGTTAAGGAGCTGCTAGGTTTTAGATGACATCTCTCCAGCCTTCAAATAGAATTAGGAGCTTTTGCTTCCAAAACTTCCAGTGCTGCTGCACGGATGGGCACCAATGAGCGTTTGGCACAAAGGCTGTCTGCTGGACCACGAGCCACAGGCTGGGCCAGGTCAGTCACACTGGGCCCAGGAGCCCGTGGCCACCAGAACCCACTGCAGTTCTGCACCAAAGAAACAGAATTATTTCTGAAAGACAGTTAAATGCAGCTTGGGTTTCTAATGCCTTTAAAGCACTCTGAGATTCACCTTCAGCACCACTTCTCCCTGCACCACTTCGGATGCAGAGATACAGAAATTCATGCATCTTACAATTATTTTAAAAATATTCTTACCAGTCCGAGGTTTTCTCAAATTCACATTCTTGCGAAGTACACAGTATGTCTTTAACAAGTTAAAAATAACATCTGCTGACAGACTCTGCTTTTTAATATTTTAATTTTCCCAGCTATAGATGGGAAGCAATCTTGAATTCAGAGACTGTATCACAGTGCAAATAGCACTGAAATGAAGTGGGCAATGCTTCTGAGAGTAGATGCTCCTCCTGAATGCTCCTCCTTGGCACGAGCAGAACGAAATAAAGGCCTCACAAAAATGTCAGTAAATCTCTCTTTCCTTTCTTCAATGAAATCTTGAGGATTATAGCACAAATATTTCATAGAAAACAGCTTAACAAAGCACACTGAAAATGCTCTTCACTACTGTTGTGGTTTAACCCAGCAGACAGCTAAGCACCAGACAGTTTTACACTCACCTCCTCCCAACCCAGTGGGATGGGGGATAAAATTAGGAGAAGATGCAGTAGAACTTGTGGGTTGAGCTAAAACTATTTACTGAGAAAAAGATAGTATTTATGACAAATATATACATTTGTACATAACAGGTGATGCACAAGCAATCGCTCACCACTCCTCCACCGATGCGCAGCTAGCCCCTCAGGCAGCAGAAGAGAGGGTGATGAACTCCCACCCCCTTCTAAACTCCTTCTGCTTGATGTTGTATGGTATGGAATATCCCTTTGGCAGGTAGAAGTCAGCTGTCCTAATTCTGTTCCCCCCCAGCTCCCTGACGTCTTGGCTCTGTACAGCACTGCTTAGTAGCAACGATCAGCATTGTTATGCTATCAACATTCTTCTTCTCCTAGAACCAAAACATGGCATCATACCCGACATTCTGACAACTTGCCAGGGGCTCTGAAAAGAATTGCTGCAGGTTTCTTTACACACTCGTGGATAATAGGAAACCCCAAATTCTACCCTTTCAAGGCAATTTTAACTTTCTGTACCAGTTCCTTACCTACATTATTTCAAGGGAACTGAAATCCATTAACTTTAACTGCCTTTGTTGCTCGCATACGTTAAAATTCTTTCTGCTGTTTACTTTTGAGCATTTGTTACTCGGCCTTTAATACACTTCTTCCAATGTAATCCTCACCTCTCTGCAAACTGGAAATCTGACAGCTTATCCTTACAGTACTACCAGTGTAAAAAATAAATAAATCGTTCCTTGTCAAAAACATATATAGCTTTTGAAGTGATGTAATATTTAAAACAGCAAAAGGCTTTCAGCAGTTGTCACAGAAGCTTTCAGGATGCAGGAACCTTTGATTTCCTGAATCTTCTTTACAGACACTTTCTCCTTCACACTGCAGACGGGTACTGAAATAGCTTGTGAATTCAGAATAACTTCTTGAGCACCTGAAATAATTCAGTGTATTCAGTTGTGCAGAAGCTAGAGCTTCTGTCCTTCATTGCTGGAAGCACATTACTTAAAGAGGGCTTCAGAATGCCTGAGATAGGCAGGCGTTGGCACAGAGATGAAACCCAACATCCTGCCCGCAGCAGGAAGGTGGGACACATTCCATCATTTGTATCAGAGCTGAAAAGCAAAAGGTTACCAGCTCAGTTAGTGCTCTAGAGAAGTCATCCTGAAGTCATCCCACAGCTGGGAAAACCGTCTGAGCACCCTGCCCTGCTGAAGGCACGCTGACACCTCAGCACACCTCATTGGACTCATCAGCTACATGGTTAAAAATTATTTTATTTTAATATCCTAATGAATTATTTTAAGTTTTCAGCCAGAATGTCATTCTTCCAATACATTACATAACCATACCATACAAAAAGATTCAGCTGTCTTATTGTAAGATTCCTGAACTATTTACCTTTGTTTCCCATTCTATTCTTGTGTTACACCAAGAAGCTCTGCCGCCAACTTCTTCAGCAACTGCTACTTCAAGTACTTTTATATTCCATCTTATTTAAGAATGCACAATTTGCCTTTCCAGTTTCTTCTTCATTTCTTTCTCCTCCACACAGGTATTTTATTGACAGACTTACAAGGCACTTGGTGGCTGGCAATATTTATTGGGATAACACTGAGCACTACGTGCAGTACATAGGCAAAGGCTCCAATACCCTTCAGTAAACAGCTTCTTCTGCATTCTAATGGCTGTTCTTCTTTTCATCAACAAGTCTGAGTTTGCAGGGATTTTATGGGTCCCCCAACAATTACAAAGAGAAGTTTTTCATACACCATACTAAAATCAGTCTGCCTTTTTCTTTCTCAGCAATATTAACCACACAGATTTCCACCATCACGCCCATTCACCAAATTATTTGTCCTATCCTGTTGAGGTTTTCCACATTCCTCTGAGCTTGAGTAACTTATATCTGGGCAAATTGTGTTACCACTCTGTTCCTGTGAGCTGTTGGTAAACACAGTGTCTACCACAGCCCTGCAACAGACCTATATGAGAACAGTGAGTTAAATGAGGTCATTACACTTTTTCTCATGACAGAAGTTGGAAAAACAGGATTTCATAGGCCAACATGGCCAGGTTCTGACCCCTTATAATAATGTCCTTCCACTAGAGCATGGCTACACTGGAGCAGGAGCAAGCTGTGGCAGAACACTCAGAGGTACCCACCTGCAGCAGCTCTAGGGGCTTGGCTGCACCATGCCCACTCCCTGAGCCAGCGGAGCCAACCTGTGCAGCACGCAGCCTGAGAGCTGGGCAAGCACTTACTGCTCGGGTGCTGTGGTCTACTGTGACACCTTATTAGGACGACTAAAGACAACTCTTTATTCATATATTAACTGTGAGGAAAAGAGAAAGGAGAAAAATTATCATCTGCAACACAGAACTCTGTATAAACGATACTGGTGAGCCTAACTTCTTCACATTTTTTCCCTTTTTTAATTATTCTTACTGGCTTATTAAATAAAAAGACAAGGCCTTTACTTGTCTAATTCCCAGGATCAGCCCTGACTTTTTTTCTTTAAATCTGCAGTGCTGTAATCTGTCATTCCTTCCTCTGGGCCAGTAGCTGCTTTCAAAGAATGACTGAATACTTTTCATCCACAACCTCTTCTTAAGCTCTTTCACTGAACTATAAACTTACAATATCAAACACCTCAAGTACTTTGTAAGTAAATATGAATGCATTTAGATGCCACGAAACAAGTGTTAGCAAAACCTGTTCTGCAAATGAGTGAAGACATAGTGATGCCTGCATGCAGCCCCACAGTGAATCAGGTACAGTGCAGAACAACAAGGTGTCACTTCCTGGCTCTGTGTTACCAATGCCCTCAGCATATTGGTGAGGAGGAACTATGACCTGCATTGTAGAGCCACTACTGCTGTCAGGAACTAGACACCATGTTGCTCTCTTTTTCAGAAAGGACAATCTCCAGCCATACTTTACTGGTACACCCAGACAAAGCAGGTTGGTGGTAAGTACAGCAGTCTGGATTCACAACTGGACAAAGCTCCCAGACCCACACCAGTGCAAGCCATGGATCTGTATGCAAAATTCTTCAGTCCCAAGCACGGGGCTTACTGCCCAAGTTCACTGTTTCAGCAACACATTTTTTTTGACACATACTGTTTTGCACTATTTCCTCTTGCCAGCAGCACTTCAACAAACAGGACCTCAAGAACAGCTATGTGCAGTGCTTGTCTGATGCTCATGTTCTAGGGGCAAGGAGCTGAGCACCTGCTTGCCATCTCTCTGGCTCTGTACTGCTTCCAACACTGAAGGCCAGGGAAAATTCAGGAGGATGCAAGGTAACACAGCAATCCGAAGGCACAGTGCAGCTGATGGACAGTGGCTACCAGCATACAGCTCATCCCAAAAGCACGGAGGAACTGTGCAGGGCTGGCTCCAGACTCAGTCGCTGGAGTTTGGATCTCCATCTCCCCTCCCCCATGACCACCCAGGCAATAACTCATGAAGCTGCACTGGTTTAAAAGGAACAATCACTGGCCTTGCTTTTCCAGACGTGTAGGAAATGGAAAGTCAGCAGACTGATACAGTTAGAGGAGTGGAGAAGTGAGATAATGCGGTAGTGGAAATCCGCACCGTCCATGGGCTTTAACAAGTGCTCCACACCTCACAGCCGCCTGCTTCCAAGCACAGAACCTTTTTATGAACTTGGTCACTAGGAATTAACTGCACTGTGACACTTATTCTCGAAGGCTGGAAAGCCACCATCAGAAACCTATCTGTAAGGAAAGTACCTCTAGATATTTCTGCTGTACCTCACGGTGCAGCCCTTGGACGATCCCACATTTATCATCAGAGAATGCAATCTCAGCGTGGTGCTGCTAGGGCACGCCGGGCACTGTTTACAAGAGCAGATGGGTGAGATTGGCAAACAGGAATGAAACTGCGTTATTTGGTCAGCAGAGGTTGACCAGAAAGGATCAGCAAGAAAAGAAACATCGAGGTCTGGTTACTGCCATTTAGTTTAATGCGCAAAAGATGACCATGGGCCGTTTAACCATTCACAGCAGAAGCAGAACGAGGCAGGAAATCAGCATTCAACTTCCTGAGCCCTTCGGAAGCGGCACCCTCGGGCCCCGACTCCCCGACAACCGCCGCTCACTCCGAGAGCGCCGAGTTCCGCCCGCACCCCGAAGCCGGGACTCACTGCGGGCCGGGGGCGGCCGGGAGCGGCTCCGAAGCCTCCGCGCGGGGCGTTCCGCGGCTCCCTCCACCGAGTCACGCCCGGCCGCAACCCTCGGCCCCAGTCCCCCCAGCCAGGCCTCCGCCGCGAGGCCTCGCAGCCCCGGCGAGGCTGCGGCGAAGAGGAAGGAGACGAGCCCGGCCCTGCCGCCCCGCGGCCGGCCACTGCGCCCCTCGGCCCGGCCCCCGCCACCCCCTTCCTCTTCACCGCAGCCCTCGCCTCTCCGGCGGCCGCCTTCCGGCTCAGCCCCGCCGCCTGCTGCCCCGCAGCGAGGGGCGGCCCCGCCCGGCGCCCCCCGTCCCGGCCCGGCCCCGCCGCCCGCTCACCCGCACCCGTGGTGGCCGCCATCTTGCGCCGCTGCCGCCGGAGCCCCGCCTCTGCCGCCGCGTCAACCCAACGCGGGAAGCGAGGCCTCGCGGTGCGGGCGGGCGCGCGCTAAAGGCGAGGCGGCGGCGGCGAGCTCTGTGGTGCGCGCGGGAAGCCTTGTCGCGCGGGCGGGCGCACACGAGCTTAGCCGCGCTTTCTGTTTGGCGGGGGGTGCCCGAGCTGTTCGTGCACCCCCCAGGTCGGCAGCCGGCTTGTCTCGGGGAAAGCAGAGCCCTAACTCCTGCAGAGGCGGTTGAAGCACGGGCTTTTAAGACATCCTATAAGACTCCAATGGAATTAACAATTGCCAAACCACGTTCGTTATGGCCAGAACACAGGCAGCATTTAGCTTCTAATGATCTTAAATTACCCACAGTCACTTGGTAATAATCTCATGTTGTTTATGTATTTTCTTGCCAAACGTCTTCCCATTACATTTTCAGCTAAGGAAAATATCAGTGGTGTAACACGGTCATTTCATTCGCTGACATTCTCTTGTTGCAGTCAAACACTGGCAGCAACCTGTGCTGCACGAGCGGATAGCACCGTGCTGCTGCGTGCGCTCCGTGCAGCTCCTGTGACCACAGCCCAGGTGAGCAGGCAGCAGCCCTTGGTGCTCGAGCCCGTGATCCAGGCCCTCCCTTCTGCAGCAGGGAAGACACGGCGCAGATGGCTGTCCCCACTGTGCTCCTGAAGGCTGGCACTATCCAGATATGGAATCTGGAAAAGCCAAGGCCAGATGAGACACAACAGCAGGAGGACCTACAGCGCTGTGCTTCATCAGCACAATTTTTCCTTAGCTCTCTATAATCAGTACAGTAAGAAGAAGGAAACAAACAATAACAACAAAAACCTGAAAGGAAATGAATTAATGAATTCTGCTTTGTCTTACACTATATATTCCCAAAATTTTGTCCTGAGACATCACATAGAAATTTCACAGAAATTATTACTAAGTAAAAGATTTAAAGGCTCATTACTGTCATTCAAACCCTTATTCTGTTACATCAACTCCAAAGAGCACAGCTTTTAGCTGCAAACAGCCACGGTACCATTTCTACCAGTTATTCATTGATGCTGCTTTAAAAATAGCAACACCAGTCTTGCTGGTTAGACTACAATTTAATCCTAAGGCTTTATTTCAGACAGGCTGAGAGCAGCAGAGGAAGCGAACAGGGCAGAAGCTAGGTGGCACGATTGCTCAGCAAACCTGACCAGGAGCTGGGGGTGCAGATGCCAGGTGCTCCCGTTGGAACTGCTGCAGTTCTGGGGCAAGGTGGGTGCTCAGTGCAGCCCCACTGCAGCAGTCCCCTCCCCTCTGTGCCAGGTGCGGGAGGGGATAACAGGTATGGGCACTTCGCGACAGCCCAAACCTCCTACTTTGGACCCGCTCCATGCAGGGATTGAGGCAGCATTTTGCCAGGCTGCTGCTGCTGGAGGCTGTTCTGCACCCCTCCTGCTGCTGTTCTGGGAACTACAGGACACCGTGCAGTTGTTCCTCGCTTTCGCAGAGCTAATGCTTCCCCTTGTAGACAAGGCCCCAAACAACTGTGCTACGGTTGCTCTGCAGCACTAGAGATGCAAAAATGAGGAATCTGCTCCCACTTGTTCCTTGCAGTGCCATGAGCAACATGGTGAGACAACCACAAAGCCAGGGAAGCCACCAGCCTGGCAACATGCTGCCCTGGAGCCCCAGGGAGCAGAAGGCCATCTGCATCTTTCTGAGAAGTGACAGAGTGAAACCAAGCAATCTCTACAAGTGTCAGTCACACTGAAGCACAGGCCCTCAGAGGGGCTGGTTTTGTTTTAGCTCTAATCTGTTCCTAATCAACTTAAGGCAAATTCATCTTAAGCCAGATTTACATCTGTTGAGAAGGATCCACGTTGTTTTTTGCTCCAGAATCACCATGTGGACTTGACAGAGGCACCTACTGCTTTAAAAAGGTGAAGGAGCTCCTGGAATCCATCAGAAAGACCAGAACCAAGCCAGCATTCATTAACACTCTGCTAAGGACACTGCTTTACTCAACTCCAGTGAATTGAGCAGAAAGGAAGGGAGTAGGACAGGAGAGAGAGAAAACCAAGGACTAGAAAGCTGTTAGAATATGAATTACGGGAGCCTCAGGACAGAACGAGACATGAATTTAGATTTCTGTCAAGATATGAGAGGTAACTATTACTGCTCTTTGTACTCACAGCTTTGTACTCTATACTCCTAGAACTGTAGGAACTTGCACACTGGAATGGGAGAAGAGGGAGAAGTGTTCTTTGTTCTGGGCACACGATTGTTTGCGTCCCCACCACAGCAGTATTCATCACGTTTTAGTTCAACTTCTGTCACACCTGTTACACCAAAGAAATTTAAAATAAGTTTTAGCCACAAGTTGTGAATATTACTGGATCTAACTTAACTGATTCAAAGTAATGAACATCACATCAGCTTGCCCAATAGGGGAACCTACCATTCTTCCCACAAAAATTTATAGTCATGTATCAGTCTGTGATATACAAAAGTCAGTACCTGGAAATTAGAACTAGCTTTATCATTACGTGTTCTAGGAACTACTTTGACCCAACAGATACGGCACAGAATCAAGCTTCATAAATACCTGGATTGAAGAGAAGCAACATTAATTAACAAAGAGCTTGACATCCTGTAACAACCTCCCCTAACCAGGCTGGCAGATTCTGGCCGCTGCCCCCAGCACTGCGTGTTCCTATGCATGGCCTTCTTCACTGAGGCTGGTCTTGGGAGACCTTGGGTGAGAGCTGCCCTTTTCAACAAGGGCAACACAAAATCACACAGTTATTTTCCTCAGTAGCATTATAAAAGGAATACTCCTCCCTTTTCCTCAGTTTCAACTAAATGCTTACCAAACTGCTCTTTACCATCAAAGCTACATGGAGACCCCAGCACTGACTGTAACAATTGGAGAAGATGATTTCACATAATAGTAAAAATGCTGTCCTTAAGGGTCTGAATCATTTAAGCATATTAAACACTTGGTACCTGTAGTACCAACTGTGACTTTATTTGTAGAAGCCAGCTCAGACTTCAGCATTCATCAGTTCTCACTGAAGGAGAGTTGCCAAGTCCCAACCCTTCAATGTGTCATCCATCACTGAAAATTGGTACTTGAAAGCTTACACACACAGCAAGGTCAAGGTCAGTCTGAACCTACGACTTAAAAAACCCTTACCACACACTTCAGGAAAGTACAGTATAAACTCAATACAGTTTACAACTAGTGAAGAGAATCTTCGGTTTGACCTTCAGTAAGATTTCATTTAGAAGAGAATTAAACAAGAAGCAAACCACATTCACTCAATTCAGTGCCTGTTGGATGTAAACACTTAATATTGTGCTAAGGGAATTTTTTTTCCCAATCTTATCCTTAGCATCCAATGCCATTGCAGCTAATTGCACTTCTGGAAAGGTGCTGACGTCTGGTGTAATGCAATACTGAGCTCCTAACAAAGCTGAAGAACAAGTCACCACTTCAACCTAAACAAGGCTTAACAGGCTGCAAAATACTCAGGTGCTTGGAACTGCATTTTACAATCAAGTGATCAAGTCTGGACTAAATGCTGAGAATGTATGAATGAAGAACAGCAACAAGTCATAACAAATGTGATCAGTATTATCCAGTTGCTCTGTTATAAATATATTATATACATTCAAACATCACATTAAAATATTATTCCGTTACACCAGAAGAGATTAAGGCTTTATATTATTTACAGAAACAAGCAAGCACCTTAAAAAAAATATGAACAAAACATCAGTCATTGACGTTTCCCTTCTAACATTACAAGTTTGATACCTTGAGCTCTCGAATACAGCTATTTGCAATGTGCCCAATGCTATAACTATTTCAAACATTTATTGTCAGGGTAGGAAACACTTAATAGAAGGCTCAGCAGTGAGCACTCCACACAAACAAATGCAAGCATGTGCTGTGCCCTCCCTCTCCTCAGGCAGTTGTTAAGGTACAACTGAAGGCTTATACAGAAACGGTTTGCCCGATTTCATGTAGAGAGTAGAACAATTTTATGTTAAGGGAAACTGAGGACACTTAAGGATTCATGATCCACTGGTGGAGTGGGATTCTCAAAGTTCTGTTCCACATTACATCAGTTAGATTCAACATGATAGCAAAGATGGAGCTGCAAGTTTACCAAACAAAGAGTGCATTGAACAGTGACAATTTTATAGGCTTCCAGTACTGCCACACTGTTTTCATGCAGTGTTATTTGGACTCAAACATGAAGTGACAAACTGTGGTCACCATTCCCCCCAGAGGTCTTAGGCAACAAGCTATTTTTGAAGTGTTAAATAATGTTGATACAACACGTTTACAAAGCCACCACGTACCAATGAAGTAACTGTCCTGCCTTCTGGCTTGCCTGACAGCTTTACAAAATACAGTGATGAAGTACTTTCTAGGATGTAAGCGACTTGGCTAAACAAAAGGTGCTCAGTAAAAGTAATCATCTTCAAGTATTGTTTTAAGAATTAGTTCTTTAAATTACAGTCTGTTAGCACTTCTTAGTTTGTGCTTTAGAGTCTGTTATTTCTTTGCAGGTCTTGAATTTGGCTGATGGCTTCTTTAAAAAAAAAAAATTGGCAACAAAGGTAAGGACTGCAGACGGCTGGCAAAAGTTATTTAATTTTCTGAGCCCATTTCATGTCATCTGCTCTTGGCTTCTCCCCAGTAAGTCCTTGGATCATGTTCTCCAAACACCTCCAGAATCCAATCTTCTCTAATGGATAGTTCAGCCAACCTAAGTGGAAGAAAAAAAAAAGTTCATCACAGCATCCAAAGTATTGCAGTATTCAGTGACATCTTTAATTTAAATACAAAGGAAATAGCTAAGAGGTGGACTACAGCCACTGCAAAGCTGTCACAAAGAGGTCATCAAGTTTAACTGATGTGTGTTAAAAGCAAGATGTTTGTATTAGCAGCACTTCAGATTCAGCACTGACATTCAAACAAACAAGACCCAGCAATTTCAATTATTTCCCCTCTAGGTTAGTTTCCCCATGACCAAGAGCCAGCATGGCTTTTTCCCCGTTTTCCCCACTAGTTTGTACAGCAGGACAATACACACACGTAACATGATACTGAAATGCATTATGAGTGCTACTTACACTTTCTAGAAAAACTGAGATCTCAGGAACCTAAACAATGCTAAGAATAAAGTAAAAACTTTTCCTTACAAAAAGCCTCAAGCATTGATAGTGCCAGTATCAATGTTCCCTTTTAAAGTACTTTTATTTTCACCCAGGGAAGGCATAACACATTTAAGTTTGCTTAACTGATTGCTATTAAAGCTGTGGTGGGGAAGCCTTGCTGTAGCACCATGCTGCACTTAACAGAAGCAGAAGGTGAACAGTTCCTGGATTAAAAGGACAGCACTGCTAGCAGAATGCACCCAAAAGCACGCAGCTCAGCTAACCTCACTTCTGCTTCCAAGTCACCAGGAAGGCTTCAACGGGTTGATATGGGACAGGCTCCTTGTACTTACGTAAAAATGGCACTAAATGGCATAATGTAACAAAAGTTTAATGCATCTTTCCTAGCTTGCAAATTTAGGGTAGTTTAAGTGCTTAGTAGGATTGTGAGGCTGAAGTCATACAGGTTTAATAGGCCTCACGATGAATTCAGAAGGGCTTTGATGTGTATTTCTGAAACAAGGAAAAAAAGCAAAAGGAAACAACAGCAAAGGAAAGGCAGAATGAAGACGTTGTAACCACAATGGGAACAGTGAGCTAGCAGCAGTTCTGCTAGAGGAAAGGGACAGCAGAAGTGCACAGGTCAGCTCTTAAAGCATACTCCTTGGATGTGGCTGTCTTCTCTTAAATGTGCTCTGCACTTACTAACTAACAAGTGTATTACAGTAACTACTCGTATTTCACACAGTGAAGGTTCACTTTAAATAGCACATGGATAGCTTATTTCTGTCCTTTCCATCGTTCATGTTCTAGAAAAGCAATTATGACTACAGAAACACTACTCCACTGAAAAAAAAAAAATAAAAAAATCAAATATACAATCTATCACACTGCTTCACATCACAGTAAAATGGTATGAAGATTTTTTTAAAATTTTAAACAAGAACAAAGAAGTAACTAGCTCAAGAACACTGAACAGTCCAGCTCCAACTTTCAGTGTTCTACTGTATCACTTCAGGACATAGTGGGACTGAAAAAACTCATGAGGTGCCAAGATTTTTATGATCATCTGTGAAGTCAAGTTTCTTAGAAATTGTAATTCTGGTCATAAGAACTAGATTTGTTTCCTGATAGAGATTTCAAAACTGACAGAAACTGCTTGTAAAAGCCAACAACAGAAGTAAGAACAATAGCTTATTTCCAGTCATCTGATTGACTTGATAGCTTGTTCAGAACTGTGCAACACTGGTGAGTATACCGGTCTCCACAGGAGGCACAGCACTGAACACAGACACAGGAACCTACAGTCAGTTTCCTCTAAGTCTGTCCTCTCCTCTGCCTCAAATGAGATAGAATAAATGATGAAAATCCAGAAGTTTTGCTTTCGAAATGAAAATTCAAGGCGAGCTGCACTGGCAGATGAAATGATGCTCTTTGAGCAAGAAGTATCAGTAGCTTTAGCACTTCAGTGAGCAAAATGTGTTGCTAGGATGAGGTTCCCAAGATACTGGGCAATTAGATCTCAATAAGACTGCCTACCTCACTGAAAGTTATCTTCTATCCAGTCATAAATCTTACTCATTTTTTTAATGTAACAATAATAATTATGGCTGCAGGAGCTCTTACTAAAACTTACAACATGCCTTTTTCTGTATTTAATAGACTGTCACTAAATTACATCTTGCCATGGGAATTATACAAGACTACCAAAAAACCAAAATCCAACACTTTGCAGTATGAACCAGATGACAGTACCAGTTGTAATGCAGAAGTATGTCTCATGTGGAGACACATGGTGAATCCTGTGATGTTTCCGAGGCAGGATAACATGCCAGTCCTGTAGAAAGATGACCCAGCGTGGAAGACCAAAATACGTGTGAGACCACTTGTGAATCTGGTTCGTCATGGTTATGAAGATGATAAGGGCAAAGACATAGCACTCCCAAGGACATGTTTCATACAGTGCTTCTGCAAAACAAGATTTGTATCTTTAAATAGTTTTTCATAAAAAAGTAAATTTCTACTAGGAAAGTGTGGTATTGCTCAGCCAGACCTGACTGGAACTGCAGGAAATATCAAGGGCCTCAAAAAAGTTGCTTCAGCAAATGTCGTAAGAGCCATTGAGCCATAAATAGCTTCCATATATCACAAGAAAGACTGGGATATGTCAGCATTGCCAAGTTGCAGTAAACAGGAAGTTAAACCCTGAATTTTTATCTATGAAATTAAATTAATCATCTTTAATTCTTGCTCGTCTAGCATTCAATTAAAGTACTTCTACACACAGATGAAGCATTTAATGTGGTTTACAGCAAAGAGTTTTCTTGCTTAGTTTGATTTCTTGCTGTAGGAGAAGTTTACTTCTAATACTTCCTTAGAAGACTCTTCAGAGATTTGTTGTTGGGCTAAAGAAAATGTTTGCTTCCCCTTCAAGTAAAACAGTTTCCCTCCCCTGCTCCTCTAGGGAGGACTGTGTTTCCAACAGCAATTATTTGTCATCTCACATTCATTGATTTCTTCTATCCTCATCAACAAAAATGCCAAATCCACGTAAGTCGTGGCTAACAGCTTACCTGGGGAAAAGGAAACAAATTTGTATGCCATGTTTGCCAATGGGACCAACGTCATGAAGCAGTTGTCTCCGTTGGTCTCTATGAAATCATGCCTGGTAATTGCTGTAGGGTCAATATGATGTTCTCTAAAGGGTCTGATGAAAGCCTGAGAAAACAAGTTGAGAAAATGTGTCCCAAGATTTATCATGGAAAGAAAAAAAGAAAAACCTGAAATGGCATCTGAATATACAGTCTCAGAAGAGAGAGAGTGCAAAAGTAGTAAGTAGGAGAGGGATAGTAAAACAAGGATAGTTATTTGCCTCCAACACACGTGTAGTTCATGCAGAGGCATTCTCATCATTGTGAGCCCTGCTGTTAGTGTAATACAGTTTCCTGCGGCGCTTTTTTTCCCCCTTGACACATGTTCCACAGATACAGACAGTAATGGACTACTAAACCTGTTGAAGGCAAACAAAATTAAGTTCAAAATCAACAGGCTGAATTTCACTGAGCTGGTTCTCTTATTTCTGAATAACTGCAAGGAATATCCCATATACACTTTTTTTTTTTTTTTTTTTTAAGAGAATGTACTAATATTAGACTGTGAGGAACAACTAACGGTAGTTATGAGAAAGGCTATCTTAAAAAACAGGTTACCGTTTATTATGTCAGTACATTTTCCTCTAAGTATCTGGCATTTTTAGCTTTGTGTGTAATACATCATTTACAATAGCAGCCGGAGGCACCAAGAAGTAGAAAAACCTTTCACTAGAGCTTCTTCATATTTTCTATAGAACTGCTAAAGAGTTCAGCTGCAGGAACAGAACTCTTGGTGAAGCAGGACAGGGAAATTCTGTACTTCCACCTCTTGGAAGCTCTATATAAGTCTAGTCAGGTTTCTACACTTGTGTGCCACAAGCTATTTCACTGCCACTTGGGAAGGCTTGTGAACACTGGTATTGCAGATCTGTGTGCAAAGCTAATCAGGGTGATAAAATGTAACAGCATCACCTCGCACATGTCACCAGGACAACATGTAAGCATGGTGCTTGGAGCACCGCACCAGCAATATATTGTGCCATTAAGAAGAGGACAGTACAAAGCAGAGGAGTTGGTTACGCCTGCAAGCTGCAAGAAGGGTACCTGTCCAACACAGCTGAGAATACTGGAAGTGTTTCAGAACAGGATTTCATTATTTTTTAATGTTTAAGGATAAGAATCTCAAACCTTTCCAACAATGGGTAGCTCCACAGATCCCCAGGTGTCTGCCCCCCAGTGAAATAATCCTGATAGAAAGTCTGCTGTAATTACACCTGCAACTTGAATGAAGAGAGACATACAGTTAGATATGCAAAATCATTTTTTTACTGATACATCCACACTGTCTACTTGTTTTCACAGATTTATTTGCTTATCTACTTTTACATCAGATGTTTACAGCCAGGTGAGATCTACCCAACCTGAATACATCTAAGGCCAAGTAACTAGGAACAATGGTTAACAAGGTATCGAGTGGACAGCTTTTCACTATAAACAATGAGCTTTGTCTCTGTCCATCTCCTAGAGAAGAGCTTGTTAATCTTTGCAATTGCTGGCACACAAAAGATTAATACATTTAAACCATGTCATTTAGATCATTTTCAAATGCGCCTTCTCCCTGGATCTACCCACCTTTCTTCATTCACAGTGTTTAACAGATTATTTGCTACAATTATAGCTGCTAAAACTACTCCAAAAATGCTACTGCCAGCAGACCCTTCTTCTTCTCCCTTGGTCCCTTGTATCTGCAGGCAAGGAACACAGAACTACGACATTCCACACAAGCAACAATGAAGAAATCACTCCATGGCACAGGAAGACTGCTGACTAAATAAGATCGGAATGGCAAACAACTTGGTGCCTTTATCACCTGCCATGCTTCAGGCAGCGGCCCAGGTTCATGACTCACTCTACGGGACAGCCCACACCTGTCACACTTTGACACCACTTCAGGTACACCATTAAACACAGTTTGCTACAATAGAATTTTTCCAGATGACAGGTTCTAAATTCTTGCCATTGGCACCAATTAAAGATAATTTTCAGTTCTTGCATTCTTGCACATTTCTGCCTTCCTTCTCTGGATAATCCTGTACCCACTATTCAAGTTTCGGGGCAATCCTGACACTTAAGAGTAAGAACATAAGAGATGTTATTTGATCAGAACAGCAGTACATTTTCCAGTCAGTCACAGATCTGTCAGATGTTGTTCACAAATACACAATTGTTCTGCATCTGTAGAAGAAATCCTACTCCCAGGTTCCTAAGCCCTTGAGAAATAGTTTCCAACGCAGTCCGAGATGCCCTCCTGCATAAGTGCTACTGCCAGGATCTTGACACTTTTGAGGAAGAAAATTCAAAAATTGCCCTTGTTTGTAACTTGGAGGCTGGGGGAATATAACAGACAGTACAGCAATACAGCTGTAGCAGCACAGCACAGAGGAGGAACACTGCCTCGGGACCTGTGCACTCAAAGGATTTAAGACGGTCAGATGCTGCTCATCAAAGAACACAGACATTCAGAGGTACCAGTCGTAGCCTGCATGCCTTGCTCTGAGCAGTTTATTATAGAGGTTAACCAGATGAACTGTTTGAATCAAATCCAGATTTGAAGAATAAATCAGATTAAGAATCAGAGTCCTTTTCCACTGCAGTGCTGTCCTTTCAGGTTAGTACATATTGCAGAGAGCTGTGCCTGCTCAATTATTCTGAGACTGACCAACTGCTCAGTGCATGTACACACACCTGGCAGCTCTCTGGAGCATTAAAGCTCTGACAGGGAAAGGCAGAACACACCTCTTAGCTGCAGCTCTGGTTAAGCAGAAGTGCTACTCAGATTTCTAAACAGCTACTGCATTACATATGCACATGGGAACACAGTCTGATCTCAGTGCAAATCCCTCAAGAATCATACAAAAAGTTCATGCCAGCTGAGGTGCTACGTACCGAACTTGCAGTCTGCTGTAAAACGGTCACAGCAATAGAAATACAAATAGTGCTCATAGCGTGCGTTTCAAAGCATCTTAGTTAGCAATCCCCTCCTCTCATTTGATGGTCAGAGCATAAGGCACAGTCAGTTACTCCTGGCACGTCTAGGAGCTCAGGAAGGAGCCCGTAACTGCCTGCCTGCCCTCACCAACGCAGCCACAGGGCTGGGGCAGAGCGGCTGGAACTTAGTTCTTCAGTTTTCCCTGCTGATGTTTAGAGAAATCAGTTTGTCTGGGCAGCCTGGTCTAGTGGTTGACAACCATGCACACAGTAGAGGGGGTTGAAACTAGATGGCCTTTTTCAACCCAGGCCATTCTATGATCCTATGAAATTGCCCATTGTAACAGCCTCTGCAGAAGAAACAGCAGAGTTTCATAATGCAGGAGACTTATTTGTGCTCTGACTGCATTATTAACTCCTCTTCAGAGGTCTGGGAAGACAGCAGAACTTCTGGCTTTCTCCTCCACTGGCCAGAATTTGCTTCTCTGTCTGAAAACCTCCCTCAAGTGCAGCTTCTCCATCACAGAGCAAAGCTTTCTGTGGCAGGCAGGTGCACCTCTGCCTGCTAAGAACTTAGGCAAGGCAATTGCAACACATCTGTAATCCAAATCAAAAGTTATAAGCATTGGTATATCAGTTCCTCTTGCTTTAGTTCCAAACCATTCTGTTACTCCTCTCCCTCTCAAGAACTGAAGGCATCAGTGTCACAGGCTGGCAGGAGATATGCCAGGAATTAAAAACAACCAATGTGCATCTCCTTGTAAGTCATGCAATTTACACCAGCCCTGACTTGGACCTCACCTGATCTTCTAACCACCAACCAGGGCATTTTGGTCGGCTGCCTCAAGAGTCCATTTTATGAAGTTCTTCTAACACAAGCGGGATTGCTGAAGAACAGGTTTTTGCTTTTTTAGAACATGAAGAAGGACCAGATTGTTCTGTCACTATTGATCAAGTGCTCTTAAGCTTCAGGGCACAGCACTTTCCTCCGGTACACATGGCACAGTATACTTCACGTACAGCCTTCTCCTGGTTACATTTTGCTGAGCTTATCCTTCACCTCTACATTCCTTCTGTCTCCGTCGCCCTCATTACAAAAAGGGAGAAACAGGCTAACATGGCACCTACTTCACCAAAATGCTTTCTTTCCACATTACAGATTCCCCCTGCTGAATCCACCTGGATTCAACCCAAGCAGCCCAAATTCTTAAAGGAAGAAGCGCCCACCACTATGTTTGTGTATCATCTTATTGCAGTGAATACAGCCCACACTTTATAAGCAGTAAGTTCTGTATGCTTGTTTCAGACAAAAAATGAAAGCTACACGAGCAGCACAGTGGCTTTGGAATCTGCATCCAGCAACCGAAAGAGCAAACAGCCTTGATTTGAGGGAAAGATATCCAAACAACGCTTTGCTCTACTACAAGTGAACACCGTTCTCGCTGAGGTAATCACCCTATTAACCCCCCAGTGCCTTCAGCACACTGCATTCTCAGAGCACACAACAACAGCAGGAAGAATAGCTAAAAGGCAAAAAACTGACCGCTCAACTAACAGCTCATACGTTGTGTGGATGCCAAATGGTAGAAAGCTGAAAGGAAAGAACAAAGGAGTATGAAGAGTTGTATGAAAAGAAGAAAAACACTGTACCGCAGGTCACACTTGCATCCTCCTGCAGACTCAGAAGGCATATCAGACACCAAAGAGTTAATCTCAGTGTTCTCATACACTTGGCATTGTCCCCAGTTATAAAAAATTAAGGTGTGCCTTTGGAAAACCAAAGCATGGGTGCTCAGTTACCTTCCTCTTGTGGAACTGATCTTGTTGCTCTGTCATCAAGGCTGGGATGGCAAGGTAGGACAGCCCAACAGCCCTGAGCATTAGTTAAGATTTAACTGTAAGGTCAGAAACGCAGGGTACAACAGCAGCATATGCGTATGGACTGTACCCAGCAGGTTTACACACTGTTAGAAGACAGACCTGTAAAGCACCAGGAAAATACTGCTCTGTACACATTAATTTCTCTACCTCCTACAGTCGAGCCCATCTCAGGTCTGCATCTGAGGAGAGAGTAAGTATGCTGAGAACACAGGGAGATACGGTGCTGCAGTTCAGAAGCAAGCTGCAGAAGCTTCTCAAAGCAGCAGGATTTTTTGCTGTGCAAGCAAACTGCTGAATCAGGAGAGAATGAAGGTGCACTTCAGCCAGCTGCAGGCATTTCAGACTAAGGGAGCACGACAGACACATCAGACTGCGAGAGTGGTTGTTCTCTCCCAGCTGTGACCCTTGGCAGACACCCGTGGGGCATTGCTGAGGAAGGAAGTGCTCGCTGGCACCAGGGATGTGCCAGGGAACACGCAGGGCACGACATTACTCACAGGCACAGGGCGCAGGATGGCAGCATGCTGACACAGATAGTGCTTGAGTCACGGCTGCTCTGCTCCTGCTGTGGCCTGTTGGGACACCAAGCAATACGCAGGAGCCAAGGCCACAGAAAGCTCACTGCTCCTCAAGTACCAAAGGGAAGACGCCACAGTCTGTGCTTAAGGCCTTCTCTTCTAAGAGAGCCATGTACAACTTCCTGCAGCCCAGCAGCTCCCAGGCACCAGCAGAAGGAAGCCAGAGCTGCATGCTTCAGGTATGGTGTGCAACAGACAGAGCGAGTCTGCGTGTTTGCAAAAAAAAAAAAAAAAAAAAAGTTTTACTTAACTAATAACATTATATAACAGCATTTTTAATCAGTGTATGTAAGGACTGTGTTATAGCACTGCGGGGCAGGGAAGTTTGGCCAATGTCACAACAGAGAAATGTCGCACTGTTCAGAAATCAAAATACTGAAGTATCAGCTGTTTGTTGCTTAAGTGCTTATAAAAATAAAACAACTCAGTCACCTGCATCCCACAGTCAGCAGCTTTACTTTGGTGCAGTCAGTTACAGCTTGGTGCAGGCAGGGCTGTGATGCTATGGCAAGCTGCGACACCAAGAACATAACCCCCTGAGCAGGTATAAAGCACACCAGCTTAAGAGCAAGAAGAAAACAGCTAATCATTCTGGTGAGGTCCAACTGAGAAAGTCAGAAAAGCTGACAGAGTGAGCAAGCAGAGAACAGCTGAGATTTGAAATAAAAGAAGGGTCTGGATTTTATGTGTCTCTAGGGCACAAACCGTGCAGCTTGTGACACTGCCAGAAGATACCAGGTGAAAGAGATCCCCAAGGAATAAGGATGCTATCTGTCCTGGAGGCAAGCATCTGCAGAACCCAAGGCAAATGTTCATCTCATAAAAGCATGCCTTGGCTGAGGATCACTACCCAATGAACTTGACTGGAACTGCATAATTTTATTTTCATATCTTCAATCTCAGTCTGTTAGTGCTAAGTAAGAGGATTATTCCTCTATTCCTACTATTTCCCCAGTTGATAGAGAGTTTGTGAAACACCTGGCATGTTTAAATAGCAAAATTCTGATAATCTTACCTAAGCCTCAGGTTCTTAAACAAGCACCACTGTGGGTACTTCTTCAGTAATATCTTAATTGCTTTCTTTCTGAAAATGTGTTTCTTTGTTAGTGCAGCCCTCCAGCACTACTGGGTGTTCTGAAGTGAAAGAGGCATCATTCTCGGTGAATGATAAAATTCACTGTAAAATTCTCCAGACAAAGCCTACTGCAACTTTAAGAAAGCCCCCAACAACACAGGAAGCAAACAGAGCCTTCCTTGTCTCTCAGCCACCGCAGCTGACATGAAGAGCAATAGCACATCTACTGAGCACACAAGCGAGCAGGGAAGCTCAGCTGGAGCTGTGCCACCAGCATTCCCCTGCTGCCAGGAGCATTAGGCAGGGAGACAGGCTCAGCCTTCCCTTGAGGGAATCGCCCACAGCTGTTCTACCAGAGAGCAGCTCCACACAGGGGGAGCTCATCTCTTAATCCAAGCGCACACAGCTGGTGCCACAAGCCGCTACCCAAGCAAAGCCAGCAGCTACATTTGTCACTGCACCTCCACAGCTCCCAGGGTCCTCTGCAGCAGGAAGGAACTGGACCTCCTGCACTGATCCGCTTTTAATGCAAGTAAGACAGAGGTAAGTTGTAGCAGTGCAGGGGGAAGTGCAACAAGATGTCTAGTGGAAGTTTTGCCACTTCCATGGCAACAACTGTGGTGTCTGTCTTCAAAAGAGACTACAGTTTAGGACGTAGAACAGCTGCGTGCAGTTACTGCAGAGGCAGCAGGTGTGGCTTATTAGGGCCAGCATTCAAAGGAGAACTTTCCTTTGCTAATAAAGATTTCCACACTCTAATTTCAAAGACATTTTTAATCAAAATTTCAAGCAGTAACTCATTTTAAAATGCAAAGTAAATAAAAAACACAGAATTACAGCAGAAGATTCTGCCTCTTGCTGTAAGGCACCAGGAACTGAAGCAGCTGACATACATGCAAAGCAGCCCACTTCATGGTGTGCTTCTGGCATCAGAGTGGCTTTGCTGCAACGCATGCCAGAGCTTCCATACATCACACCCTCCTCACTGGGCTCTGCGGTGCTGCTGACCAAGGCATGGCCTTGCAGCACAGCTACTAAAGCTTGAAAGAAAAAGGTTTCAAGTTTGAAAATGAACTGGGTAATTTCTTTCTGCACACACCCCCCCCTCCCCCTCCCCCGACAGTGCTCGTCTAAATAACAGTACATGTTAACAGGTCTCAAATAATTAATTCCCCATCAATCCCTCAAGTCAACAAAACCTAATTTTATCTTGTGCCATGTCACAATATGTTTCTAAAGATATTAGCATATGAGGCATTTTTATGCATACAAAAAGGTGACACAACTGTAACTAATTTCTAAGTCTACCCATTAAAAACATGACATGACTGCAGATAGAATTCAAGCAAACCTATTTGGCAAAAAGGCTTTAAAATCCTATAGAAATGAATGAAGAGGGGGAAAAAAAGAACCAGAATCCATACTGCAGTGTCATGGTTTTATGATTTTTGGTCATCAGTATTCCACACCATAACATCATGTAATGCATTGGGGGTGGGGTTTGATATCTGCCGAATGTTCGTCTGTCGGAGAAGAACTACATTTCCCCAGGAGACTTTGCGGTCAGCAAGGGGATATAACTCCAAGCAAGGTCACCTGATCCTTCTTCTTCTTCTTCGCCTGCTCTTCGCTGTCTGCGCTTCGCTATCTGCGCTTCGCTGCCTGCGCTTCGCCATCTGCACTTCACCGTCTGCACTTCAGTCTCTCAACTGGACTGCACTTCTCACCCCAGCATTGTGGTGAGGTCTATACAATTCAAACAGACTCTCTCTCTCTCTCTCTCTCTCTCTCTCTCTCTCTCATTGTATTTTACTGATACTATATTTAGTAAAATCATTTGTTCCACCTCAGATCAGTGCTGTTGTTTTCAAGTATTTTGGGGTCCCCTGCTTCCCCTTTCCCAGAGGCACGGATCCGCAGATCCCTCCGCCCTGCTGGTCACGGAACTGGGCCGGACCAGCCCATAAACCGTTGACACTGCAGCTTTTGCAATCCACGCTGCAGAGAGGCCCTGTACCTGGTTGGTATTAACATAATGCCTGTAGATATATCTCATGAATATTGAATAATGTTAGACAACACAAACTCCTCTGAAGGCAAAAGAGCTTTCTAGCTTAACGTCATTTGTTTTGGAAGGCTCTTCTACTTACCACACAAATAACACATAAGCCAGCCTTGTCCCCTGGAATTATTCAGCTTCAGTGAAGTGTCCAAGGCTGTTCCACTAAGTGATGTCTCACTGCAGGGGAACAGTTCAGCTGCATCTGGAAAATTGGGAATATTAAACCCTCCTTTGCAGCCAGCCTTCCTAACCGCCTACAAGAGGTTACTTGCACACACGTGTGCAAATAATACTGAATCCGAACCTACACAACTGTCACCTTGCACGAAGAGGGTAACTTTCATAGCTCATCAGCAGGTGAAGACATTCAGAACACAGCACAACTGGATTTGACATACAAAAAGAGACATCCATCCTCTGCTTACACTCTTCCGATCTTGTGAAGAAGGGAGCTGCCCCACAACAGCTAAAGCAGCACATAACACAAGGCACTCACATGGGTTCCTCCTCCTGTTCGTCAAGACAAGCTTTAGTCAGCACTGAAAGGCCTGCTCCAAAAGCTGTTCTGGAATAGCACCATAACGTCCCTGCCTGCTTTCTCACACTCAGCAGCACGGCGATGCACAGCAGGCTGTGAGCGCCCTGAGCAGCCTGCCTGCTCCCAGCACAGGAGTCGGTGCTCCCAGCCAGCAAGAACAGGACCAGACCTTCTGTCCCACTAATTTCTAGATTAAGTTATTCACAGCGTAGCCCACATTGCAGTTGTGTGCTTTTAAAGGCATTAAAAAAAAAAAAAAAAAAAAAAAAAAAAGGCTATGGCACAGCCTTTAATTGTAGACACAGAGCCTGAGCTAGGTAAAATGATACAGAAGGTTCAAACCACTCCCTGCTTTTTTGTTTGTTCTATTTAAAGAAAGGAAGTATTTACATAACAGCACACAGGGCATCCAGCAACCCTCCCAATGGCCTAGGCAGCGTATCAGATCCAGCCTATGGGATCACTGACTGCTTTGGGGTTTCTCCCACAGCTGTAACTTTCAAATACAAAGACCTGATGTCAACTCAGCACAGAGCAAGTTCAAACGTCTTTATTAGCAGAACATTTGTTCTGTGAGCTCAACTCAAAGGTCAGTATTCTAATCTAAGTGTCAGCAAAGCTTTGGACGGCGACACATCAAAGTTTGTGACCACCTTCCCTTCCCTGTTGTACTACATATGGTATTTAGAAAAGAGCACATTCAGGCAGATGGGTTTTACCAAACTTAACAAAAACTAATTACTGCTGTCATTCAGACACTACCCACACTTTACTTGAACAAATAATGCATTGACAGCAAAAACAAGATAACATGTGGTACTTATTATTTTATTGCACTTGTTTTTGTGCATGCTATCAATAATTTCCACACTACTTTATTTGCACAGAATCCAGATTCTGCCACTTTAATCATTCACTACTACTTAAACAACATTATCAGTAAATTGGCTGCTTTATCAGTTAAACCGGTAACCAGGATATCAGAGAACTTAAGCTTTTATCAATATTAATTTTGAGATGAAAGCCAGTTGCAAACAGATTGCTCTACAGGTTAGCAATCGTTACTGATTCCCTCCCATATCTGCTCTCATTGCAGTGGAGCAGTTCCTCCTGGCTCCTTTCGGTGCTGCTGCCCTGTTGGCCAAGAGCAGGAAGGGAGCTAGCATGATTCCTAGAGGGAGCACACTGCTATCCAAGGAAAAGACAGCAACCTCCCAACAGACAGAAGGCACTGCTGCAAAAATTCACAGCACTGTCAATGGTTTACAGGGTGGTAATAATAATATCACATATTATTGAATTTTCTGTGGGTTTTTTTTTTTTTAATTGATGGTAATACACAACTGTGATGAACAGGCGTTGTTCTTCTAAAACACAACGCGCCTCACAGTTTATTAAAAAAAACTGCTTTCATTATAAAGCACAGAAGCCAAACACCAGTATCCAGCTGTTACAATCAGAAAGATTAACGCAGTGGAAGGATGGTACAGAAACAAAACAGCAAAGGAACCAGCACAGATAGGATGGCATTTCACACAAAAAGTAAAGGCAAAGATCTTGGCTCGCAGAAAGGAGATCCTTCCCCACTTCCCTTAAGTGAGGTCTAAGAGAGGTGCAGCCAGGCTCCACCCCTTCTGCTCACACAGCTGAATTGCCTTCAACCTCTACTCCCAGGGCTGACTGGGTCTTTTCCCCGTGCTTAATCAGTGGTTCAGGCTGGGACTTAACAGTTCCCATACACTAGCTTATACAGATTGAGCCATCTTTTCAATGGCACAACTCAAAAAATCATGTAAACACCATACACCCCAAAACAGAAGTTCATAGAGCACTGGTTACGCACCAGCAACATACAAGAAGAGCTGCACAATGTCGAACTACTATTCTTCCCTCATTAAAAAAAAATCAGAAGCTTACCAGAAAATAACCAAAGAGAAGCATTGCAGAGCTGACTTCCAATCTTTTCAACCCAAGTCAAAAGCAAAGCAATCACAGATCTACCCACCAGTCAAGAACCAATGACAGTAACACTTCATAACACCAAAAACCCTCTGTTCATTGCAAGAAAGCCAAGCATTTGCAACTCACACCATATTTGAAGGGTCACTCAAGAAAGACCACTCCATACTGCCAAGACACAACAAAGTTAAATACTTCTGCACATCCGAGGCAAAGATAGGAAAGTGGAGACAAACAAGAGCAGTCATCTGAAGCTTTTGCAGATGGTTTCAGCTTCAGAGTCACTAAGTCAATCACATGCGTGCCATTTTTTTCCCTTCCCAGTAACAATTAAAGAGTAAAAGACTGCACATTTGTTTCCAGCATTACAAGAGACATTCTTGCCTTGTTCTTGTCACCTCTTACTTACATATCCCAACAATAATGGAGGGCGTGTGTTCAAGTCGCAAGTAGAAGAGAAGATTGTAAAAGTTGAAACAGATCAGAGAGAAGCATAAGATGACAGAGATCCACTCCTGTAGTCTTTTTCCTGTTGGAAAAGAATGAAAGAAAAAGTTTTACTTTTATCCAAGAGGACAAAAAGAAATCTGAGATAATACAGACTATTCTCCCACCCAGACGACTGCTCTGTTTGTCCAACAGGAAAATGAAACAAACTTATGCATGCCTCCATGAATAACATTTCGTGAAGCAACATTCCTCTTCCCTGAGCCACTGCTGACCTGTTCTCTCGCCCATGCCTAAAGTAACAGACACAAACCAGACATCAGCTCGTATTGTCCTGCTTTCCTCTTCCCCATAGGAATGCCTTTTTATTTTGTTTTATATTGTTTTGGGTTTGTTTTTTTTTTTTTTTTTCTTTTTCAAATCTGCACAGCACTGAACATTCAGAGCTGCAAGTACAACTGAATCTGGGAACAAACATCTGGCCTCAGACGCCCCACAGTTAAGTCACAGTCTCAGACCTCGTGAACAGGAAAAAGCATCATCCTGCTTGTTGGTGGCCCCAGAATTGCTTTCTGAACATTGTAAGTACGTTTCTGGGGCTTATTTATTTAACCCACAACTGCTGCAGCCTTATCTTTACCTTCCTGCTCTCGAGCAGAAAACCATGACTTCCTAGCCAGGCTGGTACAGCAAGAGGCTGAATAAGGAAAGAGAAATAGGGGCATAAATTCTCTCTTGTACCTATCTGTACTACTTAATGCCTCTATAGTTACCTCAAAAACAAACAAAAAAAACCCACACACAGACATCAGGTTATGGTAACGATTTTCACATTCAGGCTGAGAGGCTTTCTGCTGCTAATCACTGCTAGATTCTCACAGGGCACTGATGCTGAGAGGAAGGCAACACTCAAAGCGAGACCACATGGATTAAGGCATCAGAAACTTTAATACGTAATTGCCAGAGGCAGATCTGGGCTGCAACCCCAACCAGTCAGGTCAGCACCCACCTCCTCCAGGCCCAGCACAACTGCCTCAGCCCTAATACTAAATTAAGACACAAGAACAAGTGTATTTCAATATAGCACCAGAACACAACGTGGGAGATTCTATAAAGAGATCTCTGGAGTAACAAAAGTAAGAGTTAATTAACGTTCACTTTCTGTTTAAGAAAGCCACACCCTCATTAGGGGGCCTAAATGGGTTCGTCCTAGTGGATCAATTAGCAGTCTGCAGGGAAGCACCAGGCTCCTCACCAGGGAGCTCCATGGGCTCAGACTGTGCAAATGCTGCTGCCACTGAGTGTGGGATCCCAGGGCTGCCCTAAAGACCCCCAGGCCCAGCACTGGCACATCAGGAGAGCAAACAGCTGAAGGGCAGGAAGCCAGTGCCAAGAGCTTGTATTTGAAAAGCACTCACATTTCAATGCACATGGAAAGATAGGGATTCACTTAAAGAAACTGAGGAAGCACTACAGAGCCACGTTCACTCTGAACAGCTGTAACTCATGTCATTAAGAATTCAGTAGTCCAGCATCGCACGCTTATGCCAAAACACATTCTGATGCTGCTTATGTGTTATTTATGTAATGACCGGAGAAATCTGCACATCTAAAACATTACTGCAATTCACTGCTGCCAGACAGACACAGTGCTGCACAGACCTCCCAGGAGAACCATTCTGCAGATAACGACAGCAAGCTGAATTTGGAGGAAAATCTTTTCCACATAAGTGAGAGTATAGGGAACGCATTAAGTTGGTGACTGCTCTTCTGTGAAGCACAGGAATCAATCACCTCCAACAGCTTCTTCTCCCCTGACACGTTGAGATGACCGACACATGCTGCAATAAGCACAGATGTGCCTCAAACAATACAGAAAAAATGACAGACCTATGAGTGCCTTTTTTTTTTTTTAAACCATTACTTGGCTCTGTGCAAGCAGGAACACCTGCATCTCCATTTAGGACCTGAATGCCATGCTGAGCTGCTGGAAACTGCGAGCACACAGCTTGGAGTGCTGTGACACATCTGCTCCTTTGAGAGCCTTCATGTGTATGTGAAGCCTGTACTATGAACCACAGGAACACCTCGTGCTGCTCACACTGCCTGCTGATGCTTCAGACCTCTGACACACAGCAAGATTCGGGGAGATGAGCGGAGCAAAAGCTCAGCCTGCCCTCCCTGTTCACCTTCCTGAGGGGATGGGCACCTCAATGCAGTTCACGAAACACTGCTGTATGGAAGCTCCGGTCGGCAGCCCGCTTAGCGAGCAAGCTCATATATCTGCTTCTGGACGGAAAGGTTTTCTCCGGAGAGCTCATCTGGGCAGATCCCAGTTTAAAGCCTCTCCAAGAGCAGAACCGAGCTCAGCAGTGCGGAAAGTAGTTTCGCTTCACACCGACAGCTCCCCGACGTGCCGAGGTTGGGCTCAAAGCGCCCTGCGAGTCTCCACGTACGGATCGCGGCACCAAACGCAGAGCGGGGCCGAACTCGGCACTAACAGAGCCTTACGGAGCAGCATCGCGCGCAGCGAGGAGCGGACATCGCTCAGTGCAACACCCCAACGCGACCGCGCAAAGACCGCCCGAAGGCGTGAGCAGCGCAGCGCCGTCCCGCAGCCCCGCCCGGGCAGAGGCGCCGCATCGAGCCCCGCGCCCGGCCGCCTCCAACCGGCGCAGTGTGGCCCGGCGCGCTGATAGCAGGGCTGCCCGAGCCGACGCCGGGCGGGGCCGCGCCGCTCAGCGCCGCAGCGGGCCCGGTCCGTCCCGGAGGGATTCCGAGCGGAGCGGCGCCCCCGCCGCCCCCGTCCCGAGGAGCCACCGCGGGCCCCGCCGCCCCCACCTGGCGAATAGAGCTCGGCCAACTCGCGGGCCCCGGCGTGCTGCGCTCCCCAGCGCCGGCTGCCGCTCTCGGGTTCTTCCGAGGCCTCACCGGCCGGCCCCACCGCCTCCTCCCGCGGCGGCAGGCTCTCCATGGCCCGGCCGCGCGGCTCCGGGCCCCGGGGCGGCTGCTCCTCCTCCGTGCCGATGGGCAGCTGCGAGGGGCGCCCAGGGCCCGCCGAGGCGTCCAGCGACAGCACTGCGGCCCGCGGCAGCATCGGGAAATGGGGCCGGGCCGCGGGGGGGGAATGGAGAGGAGGAGCGGGGACGGCGGGCGCGGCTGGACACGCCCCCACCGCCGCGCGCCCCTCGTCGGCACCGCCACGCGACCTGCAGGCCAATGGGAAGAGGCGCTCGGTGCGGCGGGGCCAATGGCGTGGGGGGAGGGGCGGGAACACGGCTGGAGGCGCGCCGCGGGCACATCTGGCGACGGGAGCGCGCGGCGCGGCGGTGCCGCCGTCCCTGTGTCCGGCCGCGCTACTTTCTGCCGCCCCAAGGCTCAGCCGGGCCCGCCGGCCGCGCAGACCATCGCCGCGCCCCCACGTGGCCTCCTTCCGCGCCGCAGAGCCGGGACGGGGCAGCAGAGCTGCGACGGGAAGACCGCCCCGCAGTCCGCGCTCCGCCCGTTCCCGACAGGGGATCGCCTGCCCTCTGGCGGCGCCTCTGCGCGCTGCGTTTGTGGAAGTCGCTCCGCTCCCCGCGGCCGCCGCAGCCGTGCCAGGGCCGTCAGTTACCCGCAGCCCTTCATGTGGTGACTCAGCCCGCGCTCCTTAGTGGCGTCCGTTAAAAGCTGCGCGCCGAGCCGCTCGCTGATCCCCAGCAGACGCTCTCTTCAGCACAGAAAATACCAAGGGAAAAAGCCCCGACCAATACTATTAACGTCTATTAGTTTTGTTGTAATTTTTTTTCAAGGTCAAACAGAACAGCATTGAAATTAGAAGCGGTACAAATGACTGAGTAGATTCGGTTTAAACAATTCACTTACAGAGGGTGAAATGCTGAAGAGAGGTTTGTTGACTTCGAAGGTGATGTGTTTGCCAACGACACAACACGGGATGGAACGAAGCAACGGGAATGCACAGCCCGGACCTGAGGCTGTGCTGACAGCAAATCATACCTCCGTGGAAAACGCTGTTCTGTCTCTTCGGGTCGTCTGAGCCCCCTCCACAGAGCTGGAAGTGCCCTCTGCACCGACCTGAACTGCACGAGTCTTACAAACCCAGCCGCGCTTCTGATGCCAGCTAAGGCATGCAGTGTGCCTTCCACAGTCTGCCTTCCTGCTCGGAGTATCACAAGTTAATTAACAACTAAGCGGAATCGTACGCTCAAATTAGCTCCGCTTTATGAAAAGTTGGCGTCGCGCCGCGCGAAGGGGCTGCGCCCGCCGAGATCCCGGCGCTGCCGGCAGGTGACGCCACGAGCCCGGGCACGGCCTGAGCCGCCCGTAGCACCGCCTAGCGGCGCTGGCGTGGAAGGGCAGCGGGGCGCGGCGGCTGTTTGCCGGCTAGTTGCGGCAGACATCACCTCAACAGCGTGGCTTTGCATAGGCATTCTTCATAAGCATCATTATCTGCTCTTTTTTTTTTTTTTTTTTTTTTTTTTTTTCCCTCAACAGTTTGCTGGGGAGCAGCAGGGACAGAGCTGACTGTCTCCTCTGCTGCGGTTAAGGGATGGCAATGATTGCAATGCATGTAGCACCTAGAGGTCCCGCTGCCGCACTGCCCAGAGGCGTCGCAAGAAGCATTTTGACTCTACTCTAAGCACTTCCCCTTTCCCATCTGTACCTGAGGCCAGCCTACAGAACGATTTGGAGACATTTTTGAACACAGACCTGTGCTACACCAGCTCCTTTGTGCAGTACTGCACAAGGCTCACAGTTCAAAACACCCAGAAGTCAGACTCGCTCCTCTCGCCTTTTACCCATTCTTATGCAATTCTTCCTGATCCGCGAGACAAGAAGCAGAAGCTGGCTGCAGTTCCTTTGCTGGACTCTCTCTGGCATGAGAAAGTATCAGTGAGTGAGAGAGCTGGAACAGCCACTCCTAGGCCTCCTTCCAAAGCCATACACGAAGAGAGAGGGAGATGACGGGGTCCAGAAGCAATGTGTGGGGAGGTGGCATACCGTGGCTATCGCACCCAGTTCCTGGGCATTGCAGCCAGCAGTGCAGCCAGATGACACAGACCCAGGAGCTGTTCTCACATGCCAGTGCTCACCACCAACATGTCCTAACTGCTTCCCATGGTGCTCAACACAGGATGAGAGCAGCTGAATAAAAAGTAATTGTAAAGCCAAACATGCAGCCTTTAAAGCTTTTACAGAAGAATCTTGTTATTCTTCATCATGGCCCATTCTCCTGCCAACCTCTCTAAAACTGCCTTCAGTTTCTCTTGTCCTTAGCAGTATGCAGCACTAAGTTCCAGCTATCTGGCCCCAGCTTCAGGATCACTGAAGAGTTCTTCTTGTTTAGAAGTTTCCAAAATCAGTAACTACCAATCTATTCCTGGGATGTCCTGACACTTGTTAGGGTTCCTTAAAAGGATCAGAATCCTGTTCTCCCAACCATTTTTATGAAAGCCTAGACACTCCAGAAAAAAAGTAATAACACTTGTCCTGTACCAAATTCATCAAGCTAGGCGATACAGTTACATAGGAAATGCCAGATGACTATGGAGAACTTCTGGAACGCTAGTGGGCAGCAACTTCACTCTGTTTTTCAACGGGATATTCATAAAACTGCTCAGAAATAAAGCCCCCATCTTCCTGGTTAGATGGCTTCAGTGTGTGCTTTGCAACACCGGGCTGGAGCCTCCAGCTTCTGCTTTTCCACCAGCATTTGTGTGCACTCAGACACTCTCTCCTTTTCTTTGTAGCCTTCATTGCAACATTGCTCCACTTAAATTTGCTCTGACCTCCAATTCACTCTGGAAAATTTTCTGTGCAGCAGGGGAGGGTATTTTGCTCACACAGTCCCCACTGGCTGGAGGCAGGGGTGCCATCTCCAGGTGTCGCCTCTGCAGCACTGGATAGGGCAAAGAGCAACACGGAGATAAAGGGGGGATTGAGCAACCTGGCACTGCAAAGACCAAGCGTGCTAGGTCAGAGGTGAGCAGAAAATCAGCAGACAACCAACAAACACCTGAGCATCCCCATGTCACAAGGGAACAAGGGGTCAGGGAGCCCTCCAGGAGGGTGAGGGCTCTGGTCTGTAACAAAAGAACCCAAGGAGGCCTGGAGAAAGCCTGCAACTCACATGGGAGGTCCCTGACACAGGGGACTGCAATGCAGAGTATCACAGCTGCAGTTTAAGACAGGAAATAGTGTGGATAGTTTGAGTTTTTTATTATTACTTTTTAATGTTATAATGAGGCAAAGTCTCGAATCTGGTCTAAGAGCTGGGAGAGATGGAAGGAGAGCCAATCTCTCTTTCAGTTTACACACTGTCCCTGCCAACCTCACTCTGTTCCTGCCTGACATTTCGTAAATTTTATTGTTTATTTATTTTTAACAGTGGAGAACAATGTATGGAAAGCAATAGATTGAAATCCAGCCTCTGCCAGGTACAACTTACAAGTTGGTGCTGGTGTAAGGTGCACGGCTGTATGAAGAGGGACCTGGGGCTGGGAACAAGGAGAAAACAGAGCACACAGCGTGCTCAGAAATAAATTTCAATTTTAATTCTCTATTTCACAGCCTTCACTGCAACATTGCTTCACTTATGTCAAACTTTCAGGCAAGGTCACATCTCGCCCCAAGGTCCTCCAAAGCAGCTCTGTGTTCCCCCAGCCTGCCCACACACAGACACTACTGCTCTCATTCTCCTCTCCAACTCACTTCTAGCACACTACCAGCAGTGCCTTGTTCAGTGATGCAACTGTTGACTTCTGGCATTATCTTCTTTAATCTTTGCCCCTCTTCTACCTCTCCATGCTTTGCATTAGGCTGCAGTGAGGAGCTGTGTCCACACAGTGCTTAGCATGATGCACCTCTGATCTCACTGATCTGCCAGGAGATACTGCAAGACAAACAACACACAAGACAAGTCTTCAGCAAGAAGCATCTAAAGTTATAGACAGCCTTTTTCTAGAGTACAGACTCTCAGCCCACAGATCTTCTTACAAAAGCTTCAGTGTTTGTTCCGTGACCATTACATTAATATAATCTCCCCAAAGCTAGTGTCTTTCCAGGACAGCTACTATAGACCTGCAGAGTGGGAATCAGAGAGCCTGCTAGAAATCCTGGAAAAGAAGACAATTTTTAGGAATAATATGTCTCTGCAATGTCTTATCATAGGTCTGAGCCTGCAGCTGGAAAGCTGTGTCTTTCTACTGTATAAGAGGGAAAATGGAGAGCAGAATTTAATTTGTGACAGAAAAGAGCAGTGAAGATGAGATTCTTCCCTCCACTTTTTCCCCCTTCCCATATTCTTGTCTTACCCCTCCACTATCTATATTCTTTCACATATGAATGAAGAGGAATCTGGATTTTATTGCATAATTTTTTTTTTTTTTTTTTTCAGGAATGTAGATGTTCTCACTAAGTAATTTGTGAATAATGCTGTCTTCTTTCCCCATCTGAAAAATCATGAAATCACCAGAAAGAAGGCACTTTTCAGAGAAACGCTGCCTCTCTGCTGAAATTTGCTGCCAAGAGAACTGTTGTGGAACCAATTGCTGCTGCCCCTGAGTTTTTCACTGTGTGATCCCTTCACCAGGATCACCTGCATCTCTTTTCCTATCTCTCTGTGGAAAAGAGTTTTCAGGATGATTTGCAGCCTCTGTACATCAGACCAGACCAGGTCAGCCTGTGGCACCGACAGGGATGGAGCTCGGTGTGCCAAGACCTCCACCCAGCTCTCCGTGATGGGAGCTTCGCTCTACACCGTTTCCATTTCAAAAGCCCCATTTCTGGCCATGCATTTGTTATGACAAGTGCAGAAACAATTTAAAAGAGACCAGACTTAGCTCAAAACCTTCTTGCTGAATGTAGGGCTTTGCATGAGTGGTTAGTCCCGCCAACAAGGTTCCCATGAGAAGCTGAGAGCTCCATGAGAATGGATGCTGGGATTTGAGGTGAGCTGGAGAAAGTTTAAAGAGATCCCAGCAGAGCAGGAAGGTGAGTGGGGAGCAGAGAAGGAGGGGACCAGCTGGGCATCCAACCTCAATTACCACTACAGCTGACGTGTGATTCCAGTGACTATGGGATTACTCAGCACTGGCCTGGAAAAGGAGGTGTGGGCCACACCATCTCTGATATAATCTATTTCACATGGCAGTTGCACAGACGTTTTATTTTGTTAGGGAAGATCAGCCTGGGTTGGAGCGCAGCTTTTGGATGCTGAGCAGCTGAGAATAGGGCGGAAATTTGGAGAGGGTAAATTCAGATCTCTGAGAATATCTTAAAAAAAAATGCCCAAGAAATGCAAGTGATGGGTTGTATGGCCCGCATTCAGCCAATGGCTGTGGCAAGCTGGAGACCTGTCAGGGTAATGCCAAGGAACACCAGAGCCATTTCAGCAGGTGGCCGTGGCAGGAGACCTTCTGCTTGTGGGTTCCTGAGATGTTCAGAAGTAGGAAGCACATGAGGGTGAATTTCAAGAGTTCAGTTACAAGGGCCAGTTAGGGCAGCTGCTGGATGCAACTGCCAGATCAGAACTCAGGATAAGGACACAGCGCAAGAGAGAAAACAGGCAGGAGAACAAGCCCTGGCTCACTGGGACTTGCCAGTATTTGCACCCAATACAGATGTTTGTACTTATGAAGGTATGGGCTCCAACCTCCAGACCCAGACCTCTGGCCAGGCCCAGCTCCAATTTAATCTCTGGTACATTTACCAAAGATTAACTTGGAGATAAAGATAGAACTAGAAATATTTGAAGCCCAAAAACCCGTTGGGGTACTTTTGTTATGGAAAGCAAAACCCTCCTGAAATGTGCAAAGGAAATGTAAACGCAAAAATACAAGAAAGAAAAAGTCCAGTGATCCACCAACACATTTCTGAATTCTTCCTCTTTTCAAAGTTCTGAGGTTTGAACATTATGAACAGTTGACTGTTTGAATCGTATAATGCAATACCTGTTCCTCTGGCTTAACGTTACCATATTTCCCACACCGCAGGATTGCTTCACATTATTCTAAGAGGCAGTGTCATTTTCCCTGCAGTGCTGGGTCTTCTTTACTGAGGCGAAGGACACTCCTACTTCCTTTAATTATATGTTTTGTTTTAAATTAAGTCCTTTATTCTGGGGATGAATCACCAGCTTGTAGACAGGTAAATGTGGGAGTAAGAGAGTGAAAATATAAGTTTGATTCCCAAGGTGGGTGTCTTTAATTAAAACGGACATCGAGATTCAGTCTTCCTTCCCAAACTTACCCCGCGATTCTGAAAATGCCTGGATTCCCTGGTTCTGAGCATGTCTCTTTCAGAAATTTAAACACAGTCCCCTCTGGCTTCAGAGTGCAGATTCCCTGTCGCCTTTGTACTCTGACAGTTGCGCCGTATCGTGCAAAGTAAATAAACCAAGGCAAACTTCAGTCACCGTCCCTGCATGCAGAGATGGGGAGCGGAGCTCAGCGGCTGCTCGGCTCAGACTCTCGCGGCCGTCAGAAGGCAGCCGGGAGCACGCTGTGCTCCAAACTGCGCTCACTTGGCTCTCCGCTTGCTCTTGTAAAATGGTTCTGCACACGTCTGTATCGGACCGTTCTGCCTGCCAGTGCGGTTTACTCAATCAGGCACTGGACGGAGAATAAGAGGATCGGTCTCCTATTTGCAGCTTTTCCCCCTGCTTTGGCAAAAGAACTTGGAAAAACGCCTTCTGCCTCGATTTCCCCAGGGCTAAAACGAGACCCAGACAGGTTTTGCACCCACTTCTGCGGGGCACACGCAGCCTCACAGCGCCAACCCTTCCTTTTAGACACAAAAGGCCCGGCCTTGCGCTGGCAAAGCCGCGTCCCGGTCTCGCAGCCGCTCCGGGCCGAGCGGTGCCCGCGTTCCCCGCAGCCGAGGGACCGGGATAGACGTGAAGTCCCGGCGGCCTCGCTGCCGGCGGCGGCGGCTCCGTGCGGTCCCGTTCCCGCATCCTGCAGAGCGGCCCCGGGGCTCGCACCGCACCCGCAGCCGGCGGCGTCCCGGGGGCCGGAGCGGTAGCTCCGAAGCGTGCAGCGTGGCATGCGGCCAGGCGATGACGCGCCTGTTGCTATGGGATCCACCGCCCCTATAAATAACCGAGCGAAGGAACTTTCCTAAGTCAGAGACTTGAGGACACGGGCCCCGCAACCAGATGGTCCGCAGGAGAGCCGCCAGCTCCAGCCGCAGCTCCGGGAGCGGGAGAGCTCCGCCGCGCCGCACGGACTGAGCCGCCCGGGCGGGCAGCGCAGCGGGGCCGTGCCCAGCGCCGGGCTCGGGAGACCCCCTCCCGACGGCGGCCGCTCGATCCCGTGCCGGGGGGGCCCCCCGCGCCGTCTTCTCCTCCCCGCATCCCCCTTTGCTTTCATGCAACGCCTGGTGGCCTGGGACGCAGCATGCCTCCCCATTCAGCCGCCCGCCTTTAAATCCATGGAAGTGGCTAATTTCTATTACGAGGCGGACTGTCTGGCTGCTCTCAACAAGCTGCACCCGCGGGCGGCCGGGGGCCGCTCCATGACCGAGCTTACCGTAGGGGACCACGAGAGAGCCATTGACTTCAGCCCCTATCTGGACCCCTTAGCAGCATCCCAGCAGCCGGCGCAACCGCCGCCTCCCGCAGCAGCAGCAGGGGGCAACTTTGAGCCTGCCTGCAGTAGCGGCGGCCAAGATTTCCTTTCCGATCTCTTCGCCGAGGACTATAAAGGCAGCGGCGGCGGCAAGAAGCCCGACTACACCTACATCAGCCTCGCCCGGCACGGCCACCCGTGCGGCAGCCAGAGCCACAAGCCGGGGGCGCTGCCGGGCTGCTTTCCGCCCCAGATCGTGGAGACCAAAGTGGAGCCTGTCTTCGAGACCCTGGACTCTTGCAAAGGGCCCCGTAAGGAAGAAGGGGGAGCGGGGCCGGGACCGGGGGGCATGTCCTCGCCCTACGGCAGCACCGTGCGCTCCTACCTGGGCTACCAGTCGGTGCCGAGCGGCAGCAGCGGGAACCTGTCCACCTCGTCCTCCTCCAGCCCCCCCGGCACCCCGAACCCCTCCGAGTCCTCCAAGTCGGCCGCCGGTGCCGGGGGCTACTCGGGGCCGCCGGCGGGAAAGAACAAGCCCAAGAAGTGCGTGGACAAACACAGCGACGAGTACAAGCTGCGCCGGGAGCGGAACAACATCGCGGTGCGCAAGAGCCGCGACAAAGCCAAAATGCGCAACCTGGAGACGCAGCACAAAGTCTTAGAACTGACGGCCGAGAACGAGAGGCTGCAGAAGAAGGTGGAGCAGCTCTCCCGGGAGCTGAGCACCCTCAGGAACTTGTTCAAACAGCTTCCCGAGCCCCTGCTCGCCTCCTCGCCCCGCTGCTGACCCCCGCGCCGGGCCGCGGGGCGAGCTGAGCGCTGCCCCCCTACGCCCTCTTCCCGGGACCGGGCTGCGTTTTCGGTTTCGTTGGGGGTTTCGTTGTTGTTGTTGTTTGTTGTTGTTTCGGTCTCTATTTGCTTCCCCCCTCTATCCCCGGGGCCAGGGGGCGGCGGGCGGCGCGGGGAGGGGGAGGGGGAGGGGGAAGGCCGCGGCCCCGGGGCTCTGCTGGGCGCTGGGGTTATTTAAAACGGCGAGAGGAGAGCGAGGGTGAAGTGATGCAATCCTTTAAGCATGGCTGGGAATGCTGTGTACATGATGCAATCTCGTGTAACTGTCAGTCATGGATTGAGTAATCTGTTAAAGATGTTCCTACAGTTTTTTTTTATTATAAAGAATAATCTATTTCTATAAGAAAATACATATGTATATTTTGGGATCTATGCATTCTTGCTACATTTGAAGCATTAATGAACGATTTTAATAAACTTTATGACTAGGTTAAAAAAAGTAGCTTGTTTTATTTTGAGGGTACGTTTCAAGTCAGATGAAATGCAGAGCTGACATTCCAGCTGGATCTGGCTCGGTGCTGCCAGCAGGGATAGGACTCGCGTTGGTCTTTTGGCTTTCTCTGTGACTGAGAAAAACAGAAACAAAAACCCCAGGAGAAACCCAGCAAAGAGCAGAGCTGGAGGCTTCAGCCAGTCTTCATCGTCTCATTTTGGTTCCTCTAATCACTTGCTCGAGCTGCCTCTTGGGTATTGTCTGGGAAGAGGTGTTTGTTTGGGGTGGTGTTTTTTGCATTTCTTGCTGTTCCCAGTGTGCAGAGCGAGGTGTGCTGTCCAAACCATGACTGATCTGGTGAAGTAACTGCAAGGCTGAAGTGGGAAGAAAAATCGAGGGAGGAAGCTTTCACTTAATTTTTTTTTCTTCAAGGAGATTCTGCTCTCTGAATTATGATTCAGCATGTCTTATGTTTGTAGTTTACAGGAATAAACATGGGAAAGTAGTGCTTCTGTTGGATGTCGGTAATGTGGTCCCTGCTCGGAAGCTCTCGCGAAAGCCACCAGGTGAGAGGCACCCCAACAACCCCTTGCCTTTGCTCTTGAGATGTTCTTCTCAAACCTGTAGCTAGAGTTTCTCTGTTGAGAGGGGTTTGTTTCTGTGTGTCTGTTAGCTGGGGGAAAGCAGCAGATGAGTGGGGATGGGAGCAGGCCCTGTTGGGCTATAGATCGGGCTGGAGCTTTGTTCTGCCCGCTGATGGAAAGCTGCGCTGCTCCCATGTCCTGCGTGCTGCTGCCAGAGCTCTGCGAGTGGCTCACAGTCCCAGGCTGGTTATGTGCGGAGGGCTGAGAGAAGGACTGGGTCTTACTCAGCGTGTTCCATTTTCCTCTTAGGCCAACTTTAAGCACCATGTTTTAAAATCCAGATTCTCAGTGCCCCGAATAGGAACTCCTTAATCGTCTGTGTTGAACTGAATCCAGAGGAGCTTTTCTGTACCAAGAGAGTACTTGAATTTGCTGCAGGCAGGGCAGGGTTCCAGAACAAACCCTGAGTCTGTCACTTATTCCCAGCGTTCCTTTCAGCAAAGCATGTTTCCTACTGAAAGAGCTGCTGTGCATTTTTGACACTTGAGATCCTATCTTTCCCTGGCAGGTACAACTCCAAGAGCTCTCAGGGAGATCCGCCGTGCTCTGCTCCCATAGTGCTCCAATGGAGCCGTGCAGCAGTGAGCAGGGAAGCGTTAGACGTGATACAGATTTCCACTGTTTGCTTTTTAATTTGTGTACTGCAGTTAAGTTGGTTTTATGAGACCCTATGAATAGATTTCTTGGGTGAGCAAGCTCCTGCATGACTCAAATTCTCGCAGGCAAGATAGACGTTAGATCTTGTCTTGGCTGTCCCTTGTGACGCTGATTTCTCCAGTCTCCTGTGGCTGTTTATTCTACTATTCTTCTAGTTACGAAACTTATCCACATCGTTAGATCCCATTTTCGTGTTGTGCTGTAGGCCATGTAATGTTACCCACACTTACGAGCAGCATTCCCAGTCAGAGCTGAGTGCTGCCGAGGGTAGAATTGCTGGAGGACTGGAGATGTCCTCAGACATATTTCTGTATTTCTTTCTTTCTTTAAATGACAGAGCTTCCAACAAAAGTTCAGTTTATGAGGGCTGGGAGGCAGAGTAGATTGAAAGATAAGATGTACTAGAGGTATTTATATTTGTTTGAGTAATAATCCAGTTTCGGAGCTAGAGCTCTGTCAGGCACGAATGAGCTAATTCCTGTCCTTAAACTGCTTGAGGAGTTGGGGCAGTGTTGCTGCTGTGATTTAAAGAACATTAAAATTACTGCTGTATACCAGTGTATCTCTTTATTTGGATGAAAGATTCTTCATTGAGGGGGAAACTCATGCAGCAGCAAGTTTTTGTCAGACAGATGCAGTTAGACTGGATAACTGATGAGCACTGGTGTTACACCAATCTCAGAAGGAATTGGAAAGAGTCAGAGAATTTCTGAATACTTCGTTCTTAATCTTATATTGCCTACGGAGCTTACATTTTCAGAGCTTTCTAGCTCAATGCATGGAGGCCATGAGATACCCTACTTAATGAACAAAGATATGAAAAAGCCCCCAGAGTTAAAACACTTCCTAGGGAAAAAAGAAAAAAAAGAAAAAAAAAAAAAAAAAGAAGAAAATAATTTGGAAATGAATCTGAGCACTAATTCTAGTACTAAAGCAGACAAAAGATTTCAAATACCTTTTCTAATCACAGTGGTGGAATTGGAAAATCCCTGTCCGAACAGTGGCTCTGCTCCAAACGAGGAAGCCTCCCATTGCAAATAAGATCCTGTTAACTGAAAGCAGTACCAGGTGCACCCCAGTTGTCTCCTCACCAGGTCTCTTTTGCTTATTTTCCTAAGGTGACCCTGTTCAATGTGTGGTAAGACTTCACAGCTTAGATGCAGGGAAACCCTGCAGGGAAGTTAAGGCACTTACTCCGGGAGTTTGTTTTTAATTTATGGAGGCTTACAAAAATCATTTGGTTTGGGCTTTTTATTGCCTTTCAAATTATTTATGACACCAACTGATTACTGCAGGTCTTCCTCATTACTGCTGAAATCAGCATTCTTTTCTATGCAGAAACTGTGCTGCCAGATCAAACCTGCAGCACTGACTTCCCATTTCCAAAGCATCTGATGCTTTGCTTATATCCACTGAAGAAATCGTATGTACCACTTGAAACTGAAAGAACAAGAAACACCATTACAATTTTGGCAGCAGTTCTTCTATCTGTTAACAGACTGCTGGTCACTGCCTATCTGCCCAAGCACATACAGGAGATGCTGCGTGGCAGTGCTCTGACCCTCGTACCACTGCTGGCCCTCAGAAGGTGCAGGACAACTGCCTCAGTTTCTATACAATTTTTTTCTCTTCTATCAAATAAAAGGGTTCAAATTGCACACGCAGTCCAAAGGTGATTGGAATGGAGGACTCAATTGCAATTGGTTACATTATGTTTTTTAATTCACTCCTGCAATAGCCTTCATATATCAAAATTACAATCTGAAAAATAGCTGTGTAAAGTGTTTACCTTTACAATTTCATTGCTAGAACAGCTGTTATTGATGTGGATGCATGAAAACATAAAGTTATTCTCATGCTACGTAGTTTTCAAGCACTGTTTCATTAGCTGTGACAAGAATAAAAGTCAGTGCAACTTAGTGTCTGCTTTAATAAAGAAAAAATGTATATGAGGCCAAATTACACATCTTCTCTGGCTATTTATAATACCACTGATGCAATAATAAGTATTAGCTTGCATTTTCTGGCATTCGCAGCAGCACAAGGGAGTCTAAACCACCAGCTGCACTCAGTCTGTTTGGGTCACAGGTGCTTATCTGGGGATGGGGTCATGATTAACATCTTTTGTGTTTAACCATGCATATGCCTAGCAGTCAGAACTTTAGGGCAAAACTTACGTACTAATGTGAAGTATGGAGAAAAAATTAAACCTATGCATGAAATTTGAAAAGGTCCTAGCACAATCAAAGAATCGAAACAAAAGTAGGAATTTAGTTAACTCCTCCCAAAGATACAATTCTGTTCCATTTCTGAATACATTTTTAAATTGCTCATGAAAGTCAGAATAGAAGCATGAGGCCAAAAATATACATTAACTGTGGGAGGGAATTGGTTCTTCTTTTGAGAGAAACTTCCTGAGCTGATGAGTGATTAAAAGAATGGATTTCTGTGTAACTGTTTGCTGGGACTGAAAACATACTCTGAGAGCTTAATCTTTTCAACACATAGCTAAACTGTGATACAGATTCTGAACTCGGATAACACCCTGAGATTCTCTGAGGTTCTGATTCTTCCATAGGGACTGAGGGCAGTGTTGGCCCAGCCCACTCCATGGGCTCCATGTAAGAGCCTAGAAAGATCAGGTATGGCTTTTGACTGACGTCAGGACCATGTAAGATTTCTGATCCAGAACTACATGAAATTCCGAGGGAGCTTCTCTTTGCAGTGATACTGGATGGACCCTGTGACTCTGAAACACAACCACTGCAGCATTTCATTGCTGAGCCTCAGTAAAGACCTCTCAGGGTCAGCACAGCTCTAACTCTGATTTGGATGGTTTTATCTACTGGGAACTAAAACCCCTCCGTGACCATTTTCCCTCCTGTTTGAATGTAATAAAGCTCTCCCTTCCACTCCTGAAAATGCAGGTGGCTGGAACTGGATTTATGTGAAAAACAACAATAAGGGTAGAAATTCAACACTGGATAAATGGGTTAATAGTTGCTGAAGCTAATTGATTTGCACTTACAATAGGACACACCTTCTGACTGATTGTCACAGTTCTACAGAGCAGAGCCAAATTTAACCCTCATTTGCTTTAAAACCTTCACAAATCTGGAGTATTCTGTTCTAATAATATTTTCTAGCCAATTACAGTCAGCATCACTTTTTTGCCTTGTCCCATCTGCTCATGCCTCTGGAACTCACACATTACGTAGCTATTACAGTATTTCCTCAGAGTTCAGGGTACTTAAACAGAGGTTTAATTTGGGTCTCAGAATTTCATCCATTTTGCAGAATAACAAATCCTCCACAAACTCACACATTCCCTCTATAGCACCTATAGGGCTGCTGGCTTTGTCATCAGACCTTGTTTTAATTGTCTTGAACATCATCCCAGACAAAGAACTGCATTTTTGACAGAGAAGCAACGAAAGTTTATGGTCCCCATCGCCACATAAAACAAGCGCAGCAGTTGTTTTGTTTTCTATAAATACCTCGTGTTTGCTAGCGTATTGCAACAGCATTTCATTAAGCCTGTGGTAGGTAGCTCATTGATGTTGTCTAAAAATTACAGTAACAGGAATCACAGTCTCCTTCAAAGAATGCAAAAATCCCTCTCAGACCTCAGCCCTGGGCTGCTCTCCTCCCACAGCCCACCTGCAATCTGGGCCCGCAGAGCTGTGCGAGCCTGAGTTGTTTTTG